GTTTTTATTGTTAACTTTGTTTCTAAAATGAATGGCAATAAAAATACATTAAAAACTCCCGTTGGAGATGCTCTGAGAGCATCTCCAACGGGAGTTTTTAATGTATTTTTCTGAGTAGCGTAAACGATATATATTCTATTGGCGAAGCGGTTCCATAACATGTGGTTCTAGTATCGGCCCTCGCGGAGGAATGTCTTAAAAATGATAATCCAAACTCATTTAATCTATATAAGATACTATATATCCTATATAGGTTATATAGAATACTATATACTGGTAGGTTGTATAGGATGCTATATAGGTTATATAGGATGCTATATAGGTTATATAGGATACTGTATAGGTTACATAGGATACTATATAGGTTATATAGGATCTATATAAGAATTATATATAAATAGTACCTGACTACCCTCCCTATAGTTTATATAGTGTCATTTCGCCTTTGTATACTGTAGTACAATACAACAACCCATACTTCTCACAACCAGATTTTCCAGATATATTCCCGCGCTGGAAACTTGATGCCTTGATGCCACTCGAACATTTGACACGCAACTGTACTCAAGGATGAGGGTCGTACTTGACACCGATGGGCCGGCGCTAGACCAAGTTGACCTAGTCGGTGACTTACTCGGGGGCTTCGTGCCTTACGACGTAGGCGAATTTTCGTGGCATTCTATTCTAAAGACCACCGTGGACGAAGACACCGGTGTTGCATGGTGCATGAAGGTCGGTCTCATACCGAACGACACGACATGCCCCAAATGTGACCTCACCGTGTCCTTCGCGATGAAGTCCAAGCGATGACATTGCAGGCGTGCGGCGTGTGCAGGTGGCGGGAACGTTGAGCGTGGAATGCGGGTTCCAAGATCCCTTTGGCGAAGCTGGTGCACTTATGTTTGCTTGCGCGTCAAGAAAGCCCCTTGTCATAGTGATTGTGGAGGATAAAATTGCGCGTGAGTCCGGTGTGGATTGGTACCAGTACTGCCGCGACCTGTGTTCGGCGGAAATGTTGCGTGTCCCAATGCTGCAATGTCGACTATATAGGCTATATAATCCTATGGTAACAGTGAGCCGTGCCATGTATTGCTCGCGGCATGGTACGGTTCGACTGCGTTCATGTACGAGGAGAGGCTGCGAAGCATGAGACTTCAAACCTATAGCTAGGTATATATATCGTGCTTCTGGTCAATCAGCATGTTCCTACGACTCGTATGTCCTAGCGCCTTGTGCTTGGATCAAGGGCTGGCCGCCACCGCTGCCGCCAAATTTCGCTGACGAGCAAGCACATCGGAGTTTACATGAAAATTAGTATGTAAGCATATGCCACTGTGATTGGATAGGTTTGTCCAATCCGTGTGCGCTGAACACAATGGACCTAACTGTAAACACGACAAAACTATCGCTAGCCAATCATGTGGAAGCAGAAAACACGACAAAAGTGCGATGAAATAAAGATAATTTTACACATACTGTACGTAATCTACTGGCCCTATATTAGCATATATTTATACTATAAATAGTAAGCTTACTATTATTAATAATACGTATATTAATAGTACTATTAATAGTACAAAATATCACTTGGTTTACACTCGACTAATTCTTCGCCAAATTTGATTTTGAGACGTAACATCTCTTCACCACGACGAGATCAATCGAAACTAATTCTAACGTTACTGTAGTTTTACTTTACAGTGGTGAAGACTATCCACGACCCTTTCTATTTTATTAAAAATATTTATATGTTCTGTTAATTTTGAGAAATATATCCTATACATATACAGTAAGTTACTACAGTATGAAATAGGAGGGTTTTGTGAAATGTATTGGAAGTGTCTACGGTAGGTGACGTGTACCATACCGTAGCGAATGAGTGATTGGCTGTATATTTTAGTTTATTGACCAATGCACTTTGAACTTTGACTGTGAATTTCTCATCGCAGTCAATTTTGATCTCAATTTGAAAGTCATGCAAACGTGTTCTAAAGCGGGAGTCATTTGGCTGCACGGACTCGGCGACTCTGGTGCTGGGTGGAGCAGCCTTCGTCACGAGTTCTCCCACCTGAGCCACATCACCTGGGAGTTCCCAAACGCCCCCACGAACTACGTGACATGCAACGGCGGCCCAACTCCGTCGTGGTTTGATCTACACGAGATTCCCCTCTCCCCTTCGTCCGCACCAAATGAACCGTTGAAGGGACTGACTGAGTCCGTGAAGAAGGTTCATGACGCTATCGCGCGCTTCGATGCAGCTGGCATTCCGTCGGACCGCATTGTTCTCGGTGGGTTCAGTCAAGGCGCACTCCTTGCCGTGTACTCCAGTCTCCAACTCGAAGCCCCCCTTGCCGGCGTTGTCGGGCTAAGTGGCTGGTTACCGTCTGAAACGTACCTTCAGTCGCTTCCGCCAAAGTCGCTCAATGTCTTAATCGGCCACGGAAGCGCTGACAACATCGTGGAGTACCCGCTGGGTCGCATCTTTGCCGATCGACTGACGTCGTTGGGCCACCAGGTTCAGTTTGAGACGTATCGCGGCATGGCACATTCTCAATGTGAGCAAGAAATGAAGGATCTCGAGGCATTTCTGAAGAAGGTGCTGCCGTGAGTTACCATCCTAGGATTAGCAAAATCGCTTTCTACGTAGTAGTTTGAAGTAAAAGGATATACTGCTAACATTACTTGTATATTGCAATGAGTGTGGCTTGAATTCCATCATGTTGGTGGCGCGGCCTCTCAAGTTTGTTAATGGCCAGTTGTGATATCTCTTCCGTCAATGCTGGCTGCGTCAGGAACCATTGACGCACAGCAAGTGGGTGTGTACATACGCATACAGCCACAAGCGTCACGCGTCGCTGAATCATGCATAAGATGGGAATATGTAATCCATCTAGTTCCCTGCGTTAGACGTTCAAACCTCAAGCGCGCCGCCGTCTATCGTCATGTAACTGGTTCTGTTGTTGCTTTGATCTTTCAATTTGACGTGCGTTGATTGGCTGGACTTTCTAGCCGCGTAACCGTCAACCCTGAAACCTCGAGATCACGATATTAAATTTCCAGTTTCAATACAATGCCCAAGTTAAAATTGTCGATGGAATAAAATATTTGCGTTGATATTGAATAAAATGGGCTGGCAAAGTGATTGGCGCTCACGCGATGGATATAAAAATACTGGCACCTTGCATTCGTTTGCATTCCATCACATCGACTTACCCAGGACACTTGCATCATGCCGCCGACGAAGGTCCCGAAGAAGCGTTTGGGTTTGAACACCAAGGGCGCCAGCTCCGACAACCCGAATCGTAAGATTCCCAAGAAGCAAAAGGCTGCCAACATGCGTGACAAGGGCACGATCAAGCGTCTCAACATGTACCGGAATTCTGGGGCCATTCGCAACAAGGAGGGCAAGATCGTGGGCGGTAGTTTGATGATGGCCGGCCGCCAAGGCGGTGTCACGATGAACGACCCCACCGCGTCGTCGCGCATTGCCCCCGACCGACGCTGGTTCGGCAACACCCGCGTGGTGGGCCAGAAGGAGCTCGACAAGTTCCGCAACGAAATGCACGTCAAGGCCGCCGATCCGTACTCAGTAGTGTTGCGAACGCGCAAGCTGCCCATGAGTTTGATCCAAGACTCGGCCAAGGTGACGCGCATGAAGCTCCTGGAGACGGAAACGTTTGAAGAAACGTTTGGCAAGCAGCGTAGCCGCAAGCGCGCCAAGCTCAACGGCGTGGGCGACCTCGAGGCGCTGATGAACCGCGCGAGCGACCAGGCCGATAAGTACGAGACCAAGGGCGTGGACCGCAACATCGAAGTGGTCGAAGAGTTCAAGGATGCGACGTCGCACGACGTGTTCAACAAGGGCCAGAGTCGGCGCATTTGGGGCGAGTTGTACAAGGTGTTGGATTGTTCCGACGTCGTGATTCAAGTGCTGGACGCGCGGAACGTTCCCGGCACGCGCAGCGAGCACATCGAGCGCCACCTGCGATCGAACGCCGCGCACAAGCACTTGGTGTACGTGATCAACAAATGTGATTTGGTGCCCAACTGGGTGACCAAGAAGTGGGTGCAGATTCTGAGCAAAACGACGCCGACGCTGGCGTTCCACGCGAGTCTGAACAGCCCGTTCGGCAAGGGTGCGCTGATCAACCTGCTGCGGCAGTTCGCCAAGCTCCACCAAGAGAAGAAACAGATCAGCGTCGGCATCATCGGGTACCCGAACGTCGGCAAGAGCTCCGTGATCAATGCCTTGCGCAAGAAGCGCGTGTGCAAGGTGGCGCCCATCCCCGGCGAGACCAAAGTGTGGCAGTACATCACCCTCATGCGCCGCATCTTTCTCATCGACTGCCCCGGTGTCGTGTACGACGGTGTCAACGACGGCGAGGTCGAAACCGTGCTCAAGGGCGTGGTCCGCGCCGAGAAGCTGCCGCAACCGGCCGAGTTTATCCAGCCGATCCTCGATCGCGTCAAGAAGGAGCACGTGATCAAGGTGTACGGGATCCCAGACTGGACGGACGACAACCACTTCCTGGACCAGCTCGCAATCAAGAGCGGCAAGCTGCTGCCCAAGGGCGAAGCTGATCACAACAACGTGGCTGTCCAAGTGATCAACGACTTCATCCGAGGCAAGTTGCCGTGGTTCATTGCGCCGCCGTTGAAACCCGAGGAACAGCAAGCAGTTGAAGAAGGAAAGGACGTGAGCTTGGAGGAACTCGCGGCGTTCAACGCGGAGGCACTCAAGGGCGAAGGCATCGACGACGACGAAGAAGTGGAAGAAGAAGAAGAAGAGGAAGAACAAGACGAAGGAGTCGAAGAAGGTGATGACGACGACGAGGAATAAAGTGAGATGGTGGCAAATATATTATTTTATATACTGTGCAATCGTTGTTATCTAGTATCTCTCCACGACGTTGGTTGTGCCATGCTTTTAGTATACCAGTAGTCGCCGAGGGTTTAGATGCGACTGTACATGACGCAATTTAGTCACTAGAACGACACACAATCGGACGATTAAGGCTGGTCGTGTAGTGGACTAGTAATCACATGCAACGGCAACGTCGACGCCTTGGCTCGGACGGCGGCGGCGGCAAACTGCCCTTTGACGGCCCACGTAATCAAGCGAACGCCGGCGACGGGAGGGGCGGGTTGCAGCATCGGGTGGTGAGGGTACAGGTCTCGGAGGAGGGGAGCGATGGCGGACGAGTTGGAGAGTGTCGTCCACAGCGGTTCGATCCATCGGATAGACGGACACAGGAGCGCCGGGTGGTTATGTCTCAGGAGGGTGGCCCACGGCGACGCGTGCCACAGCGTCCGGACGGGGCGGCCGTCGGGGTCGAGGAAGCCGCCACCTTTGGCGGGCACGAGATCGTTCAACGACGACAGCGAGTGGCAGACGAGGCCAGCGGCATGCGCGGTGGAGCGCGCCAGTTCTTCGTGGGCGAGGCAGTCCTTGAGGAGATGCAGGGGGGTGGTGATGGCTTTGGCCCGCCAGGCCTGGATCAGCGTCGCCTCGACTGTCGAGTCCGGGGAGGTCGCCACGTAGTCCGGGAGCGTGTTGCTCGAGTAGCCGGTCCAGTGCAGCCCGTCGTCGGTGAGTGTGAACTCAAACTGGGACACCAAGTCGTCGGGCTTTTGCTCAAACCAGGATTTACGAAGGGGCGACCACAGCCGCTCAGGGACGTCGGTCGAACCAACGAACCGCTCCGAGTGCTGCAACATGTAGTCGGTGGCGTCGAGCATCATGTGATGCAGCTGGTTGGTCGCGTGCTCGAGCGCCGCCGCGCCGGATGGAGGCATGCGGAATTCGTGGGGATGGGTGCTGGAAGGACGCACCAGGTCCGACGCTGTGAACGGATGCAAGTCTTCGTAGTTGTACTCGTTGTCGAAGTCCACCGTCATCCAGCCCAATATGTTGCCGTCCGCGTAGGTGCATGAGATTGCGTATGTATTGGTATTGGGGTCGTAGTGCAAAGGAAGGCGGCGGGAGTACGATCGCTGGGACGGCCACACTGCATCGTGCACGTTCTGCTCGACAATGTCGACGTACGAGAGGCCAACATCCACGATCACGGCCACGTGCCCAGTTTGTCGGAATTCGCCAGACGGGGTCCAGATCAATAGCGAGCCCTTGGTCGGCCGGGTTGACGACGTGCCGTTGGCATGAGCGTGCAATGGAAGCAGCTTGCCATCGGCGACGCGGGTGACACACTTCAACCGGAAGATGTCGTACGCCATGGCGATGTTGTCGAAAACGACGCCATGGTTCACCAACAGGTATCGACGACCTAGTTCCACGCACTGCCACTTGTATCCTGTCGTGACGTCGCCGAGGAGACTCTGGAAATGCGTGCGGTTTGATCGCACGGCCGGGTCCAACGTTGTGTAGTCGCTGCTGTAGACATGGACGCCGCCATCCGTCGTTCCCAGAAGCGTCCCAAAGGGAGCCTTCACTGACGTCAACGGCGAGAGCGTGCTGTGGTACGTTCGCGTCCAAGATGCACGCATGGACCGACCACCGCGGAACAGTCGCATGATGAACACCGAAGTCATCGATCGAATTTCGAGATTCCTCTGACAATACACAAACCCCACAAATACTGTTTGACACACTATATAACGTTGGAGTTGTAACTGCCAAGATTCGAACAAAGTAATTAGTTGCCACTTCGCAAATACTTCGAAGTACATGGTAGGCACAGCACATCACACGCCAATCCATGTGTGAGAGTGGCTGAAGGCGCTAACGCTCATGTACTCTAGTCAGAGCAACCTCTGCATGACATAAGACGTGTGGCGATGCCCACGAGTCCCACGTCGTCTATACTAAGCCCGAAAAGTGCACTGGCCCGGTTGCAAGTGCAATGGAGCGCTGACGAGAAGCCATGTAGCCCTCGTCCACCACCGCACACAGCAGCGTCTTCCCCGCAGCTGACGGCATTAACATCCCTCAAGTCAGACGAGAAAGATGCCGTCATCGTGTACTTGCTTCAGAAAGTGAAGGATCAAAAGACCATGCAGGATGCCGCGATCCAGTTTGGCGAAGAAATCGCTGCCAAACTTGTGTTGGAGCAGGTATGCGAGGTGCCAAGTTGTTGACACTCATGTTGAACCATCGTCAGCACGAGCGCAATGACGCGTACGAAGCCACGATTCACGCCCTCAACGAGGCTTTACACAGCGCTACGCACCACCACCCCGAAGTGGCCCGCCTGGAGGCCGTGGTGCTGGAGTTGAAGGTGCAGCTGGACAAAGAGCAACAAAACGTGCAATCAGCAGTACGACCGCTCTACGCAAGCTCTGGCCTCTGACATTTTCTGTGTGCGATAGATTAAAAAGTGTCGGCGCAGTCGGGAGCGCGAGCGGCAGCTGAAGATGGCCATCGATCCATTATGGGAATAGAAGAACATGTTGTACAGTATATGCCGTCACACCACAGTGGACTTGGCAACATCGTCCGATGCTTAAGGACGAGATAACTGCCAGTTGTGTAAATGCGGCCGAATGTCCTATGTTGTGTGTTCATGAGGAGCGACTGCTTGTGTTCAACCTCACCTCGACGGCGTGCCACTTGAGTAACTTGCCGGCAATTGCAAACAGCTCTCTGTCCTTCTTGTCGCCCGTGTATCTACGACCGTTTGGTTAATCAAGCAAAAAACCAATGAACACCTCGTCGTACTCGGAGCAACGCCACAAGTTGTCGACGTGGTGGGAGCTGCACACTAGCGGATTGTCGTCCAGGAGCACGACATGCTGCAGTGGTCGACCCATCAAACTCAAGTCCTTGGTCACGTGACCGGTCTGCCCGAATGCCACGTCATCACGTTGTCGATGGAAGCGTAGCTGGTTTACCTCGTGCGAGATGCTGCATGAATCGCGATACAGCCGACACTGAATGTGTCTCCCAGGATCTATGAAGTCCACAAGGTGCTCTGTCATCTACGGGGGGCATGGTCATCAAAGGGAAGCGCCGTGTGTCTTGACATACCTTGCGGTCGCTGGCAGTGAAAACCACAATGTCGAAGTGAGGCGAAAGAGTCTTCAGGAGGTGATGGGTGCCAGGCCGAATGGACACGTGCACTGTCCGCTTCACTTTACCGTGGGTCATGTGCAACGTGGCAACGTAGTCGGCGGTTGCGATGGGCTACAATCGCATACATACATTGAAGTGCCATTGCACTAGCCACGTATCAACTGTTACGTGAAACGAACGGAACCATAACGTGCGATCAAGGTCCAACACGAGGCACTTGCGACGGTGTTGCAGCGACAAAGGGCATGGAGGCTGAGCCAGCGACCCGAGTCGAAGGATGCGCTTGAACTCGGACACGAGCCACGACCGCCACGCTCCATCCATGGAAATATCGTTGGCCGCAATGTATTGCTGTAACGTGCGGAAGATGCACTGTGATTGCGCAAGGGGAATTGAACCTTTGTCTACCACCTCATGCCTCAACAATGAACCAAGGCGCGTGTGAAATGACGCACCGTTCACGGCTCTGCTCAGTGAAGCATGCAATCCATCGACCCAGGATTGCCCTGTTACCGAGGCCTGCATTTCGCGAGTTTGGATGGCTCTGTCCAACTTGACGACAAGCCACACAAGGTGGTGTAGCTCGTTGGGTTGGTCGCACAAGGGTATTTCCAAGGATCGGATAGGGTGGTCGTCCACGAGGAACGAGGTTTGCTTAGGACCACTGTATGCTGTGATGGTCTCCGTAGGCTTGGTCATCATGGTCTTGCTGGCTTCCACCCCGGAGGACGGACGATGGAGTTTCTTCTGATACTCCTCCATCGTGTCTGTCTCACGCATGTAACTCGTCATTTTGAAAGTGTCGATTTATAAATCCCACGATGAAGGTAGGCTTCGGCAATTACTTGTACACTGTGCTTTATTATAGTGTACATTTGAGGAAACTTGGCAACCACCGGGCCAAATTGCGAATATGGATTGGCTGCCGAACGTTGTCATTCATTCTGATCCTCCTGTTATTTTACATTGTTAATAAAGCGATTCGATCATAAGAGGAAGGAATAATTCCCCCACAGCAGGTATACCCTACCTTTAAAACACCCAAACTACTACCTTTACTGTTAGTGGGGGAATTCCTTAGATAAGACTCTGCACACATACACAAAAATAAACCTTGTAACCTGGGACTTCGTCCTACCCCCGGTGGGCACGGATATTTCGAAGTATAATGTTCCCGGGGATCACAGCGGTTATGTAGCTATCGCTAACCACTTAGATGTCTTAACTCCTACACTGTAGCTGGCATGAGCTACTGTATAATTAGAAATCCCACCATTGTACTTATTTGTGCAACAAATCCACAGTTCAGGCGTCCTGATTGGCTGTTGTAAGGTAATAATTCCCCCATTAAAGGTATAGTTTGGGTGTTTTGAAGGTAGGTAGGTAGGTATTCCTGCTGTGGGGGAATCTGTCGAAGGGGAAGTTCCAAGTACTCGGAGTAGTTTTCAGAAATAGCATGAGCCAATCAAAATCGATTTACCTCGTTTTTTTTCACGATTATTCAGAAAAAGACGTCAATTTTCTACTTTAGTAGTATGCGGGGAGTTCCAAGAATAGTGAGTTGGGTAAAAAAGAGGTTTTTTAAACCAACTTTTCATTTGCTAAAAATATCCACTTGGAACAGGACAGAATAACAACCACTTAAAATAGTCACACCCACATTGATCTGATCAGCAGAAGTTTCCGCCAATTAAATGGATGCAATGTGGCCTCTACAGCTTTTGATTTGTAGATATCTACCAATTATATCGATGCATTTCGACGAAACACCTGATTTTGCTTTGATTGGCTGAATATATTTATTTCGTGACTCTCATTGATCGAACCAAATGTACATTATACTCCGGAGTATTAACTGTAAGGTACAGTAGTATCTTTTACCCTCTGCTAAAGGGGTAAGCGTGGTCACCGAACATTTCGTTCTTTCGTGGCCAAGTTTGACTCTATTTGAACGTATTTTCATTAACAAACTAGGAGCGTAATCTCAACGTTGCGCTCTGTTATACTAGTACGAGCCAAAGCGATATGAAATTCACAGTCAAGGAGGTTTAGAGCATCTCCACCGATTGGGACTTATGACCTGGCCTTATACGGATAATGTACGGATAAATGAGAGTCTTATGCTGATTCCAGCGATAAGTTTCATTTTCGCCACCCGTCAGACTTAAATGCGCGGGATGACGAGGGGCTGTGACAGTGATAATGAGTGCATTTACATCAATCACGACCCGTCGCATTCCATCGTAGACCGAATCGTTAACATTTACTAGCACTTCGAAAGTATAGCTCAAGGGGTGCGCACGAAGTAATACGACCTTTGATGACGAGAAAGTCGAGTGCTTTCGCATTACATGCTGTTCCGTGGAGCATCGTCGCGATGCCACTGGCAAACATAGAGAAAACAAGGTCCCCCGTGGCATCTTGTTCGAAGTACCTGTAAATGCGTCAATTCCTATCATGGCCGCGCACATCATTGAACCATAGACCTGCAGCAGCGCGTGGAAGGCGCTGGACGACGGTGGTCGCGGTGCAGTCGCCTGGCGCGAGCGACTGGTCGTCCATCTCGCTGTTGCCGCCCGGTCGGTCCGGCAGCAGTACCACGAAAGGTGGGCGAACACCTGAGGGCGCCCTCAGGTGTTCGCCCACCTTGGGTACATCCCTTTGTCCATATTTTGAATAAATTGCAAAAAAAAAGAAACGAGTATCACTGTGTATATTATTGCAACTCTGCATGGTCGTACTTCTTCTTAATTCCTACGACTAATCCTTTGAAGTAGGTTGTGCCCGAGGGACCCAGTGGAAAGTACCAGCTGCGCCACAGACATTCGTCCAAGAACGGAGGTAACAGATCTGACACCATAACTCGCACGGTCTTGATATGTCGGTTGACTTGATTTTCCCATAGGCCTTCGATGCGTTAGGTGTGGGCACCAGTGGTGGGATCAACGAAGTTGTCAGTGTGGTTCACCCACTGGTTACCTCATGTCTTGAAGGTCTATGTTGTTGACAAGAGTATGGACTTCGTTCGTGGACACGTACGACCCGAACTTGTCCGACATAATCAGAGTTCCGGGTCGTACGTGTTTCTTGATCAAAGCTAAGAGCTTCGGTTTCGTACGGTCCTCACCGACCAATATGCCGTACCACCGCTTGGTTACCCGATCGACACCACCGTTTGTGTTCACGCTCGAAAATGCAACAAAAGGGGGGGAACAAGTTAATTGTGACCGCACATCCGGGAGTGGCGTGGCGGTAGCCCCAATCACAGTGCACTTGATACCATCTTGGTTGCCATGCCAGCGACTTCGTGTCCGCTGATACGAGTGTATATTTTGTACGTGTCCGAGGACCAGCGGCCAAATAACTGGATGGACAGATCAGTCGCACCACCTTTGAAGAGTGCTGTCGCGCCGCCGCTCCGGAGCGAGTGTGTCGAGTACTTCGAACTGTCGAGGCCGATGGCTACAGCGGCAGTTTGGGTCAGCAGTGCAATTTCCTCGCATTTGATAACACAGTGGGTCTGCAGGGTAGGTCCCGATGTTGTGTGCGTGTACTAGCAGCACCCATGCTGCTGCGACGGGGCAGAGCCAGGGGAGTCCCGATTTTCCGAGTTGGAGTTTTGTGCTGATGCCCTTCTGGTCGGTTTTGGAACTTCGTATGACTAACTGGACTGTGGAAATGGAGTCATAGTGCCGTGTTCATTGGTCGCGGCGGTCGAGAAACGTGATGTGATGTCCCGCACACAGATTGTGTGATTCGTTGGTTTTCCACTGACGGCGGTGTATTCTGATTATTCGGAGAAGAAAAAAGAAAGCCAGGACAATAGAGCCCTAGATATCTTTGTCGTGGCTTGCGGAGAGGTGTAGCCGACCGCGTATGGTTTGCAGGAGAGCGATGGAGACGGGGTCTTTGGCGTGACGGACTGGGCGGGTGCGGTCCATACCTCGCAGTTGAATTGCGTGTTCGGTGTTGAGTTGGACGGCAAATCCAAGTGCACACCTGTGGTACCAGGATATAACAGCGATCTTGGAGCGGATCGTGCTGGTAGCGTTGGGGCGTCTGGTTCCGTGGACCAGAGAGACTGTGCGTATCCGAAGAGTGCTGCCGATGCTGTGGCTTTTGTAAGCCATTTTGATTGGCCGATGGAGTGTTGGTGATATTCCCATTCGCCCCAGACTTGAGTGTACCGGGACGCTGAGGATGGGGCCAACGCGGCACCGTGGAGTGCTGTGATGGCATGTATGCGTAGCGAGCTGACGGGGGTATTGGCGATTGGGACCAATGGGCTATGTGCGTTGATCAAATCGTTGTGTAGGGCTCGCGACGCATGCGCGAGCCTGCGTCGGGATGAGAGTTGAGGGCCCCTGGGATGTGTGCCGACGTCACGTGTAGGTTGTGTTGGGCTTGGTGCGATCCGAGGGAGCGATTGAGCGCCTGAGCGTAGGCGTTCGCGCTGGCGAGTGACGATGACCATGCTAGTGCGCTTGTGTTGTCGCTCAGGGCTTGGACGTGAATAGTGCGACGACCAGTTGGGTCGGCTAGGATTGGGCCCCAGACGGCAATTGCGAGTGCCACACAGATATGCTCACGAACGTTGATAGAGAATAGCGATTGATTGGCTCGGTTTACTGATGAGGGTGTATGATTGGCTGGAATGTTGGCACCTGTTTTCACATTGCATTGTTCGATCAGACTGAGTTCGCTGGCGTCCCAGTTCAGCTGAATGAAGAGGCATCGCGCGGGAAAGAGCATGGCAAGGCCCTCATCGCTGGCATCCATTTCAAGGATGAACTGTGGCGTGGAGATTTTGGCGAAGATGGAGGTTGACACGCCCGCGAGGCGACCGACACGAAGAATTGTTACGAACCAGCGCAAGTCGTCGAGAGCCGCGACTGGTAAGACGTGGGTCCCAAACCGAGGTAGTCGCCTTAGTATTGTGTGGAGGTTTTGGTAGAACGCGCGTGCTGGGCGGATGCACGAGCACACATGCCGAAGGCTACCGAGGACTTTCTCGAGCTCGTGTCGTGAGGTTTTGATTTGGGCTAACATCGAGTCAACTCTTGACATTGCTTTGCTGATTTTGTCTTGTGGCATGGAGACGATGCCAAGTGATAGGTCCCAGTTGAGACCCAGTGCGTGGAGGTCTGTAGACCACTGGGTGAATTTGTTGAGGTTGAGACTGTCCGGCCCAAGGGTGGCCATCATGGCTAGGCGCAGGGCGATGTCAGCGCAGTCAAGTCGGTCGGCGGTGTCGTGCTCGATAAGGATGTGGTCGTCGATATAATTGAAACCCCAAAAGGTGCGTTTGTCCGCGGCACTTGTTGGGTGAATTGTTGCGGGTGATTCGTGGGCCACTAACCACGATATCCCGTTACTGAAAGCGCAGTAGACGTTGGGGCTGCCGCACCAGCCGAAAGGCGCGGACATGTCAATGCCAATGACTCCGGCCTCAGGAACGGTGAGGCCGAACCAGGACGCATCGGGGCACGATGCACTAAGGTGGCGGTATGCGGAGGCCACGTCGCCCATCATTCCCTTTATAGTAGCATTGGGCGGAAGGGAAGCACGAAGGGTCTCGATGCGTTCTGCCTGCCACTTGTGAGATCATTGGCCATGCTACAAGGGGCAGGCTTTCTTTACCAGTAAGCGCGTTAACGGAGTCAACGGTGGGGAAAGAAAGGTCATGGATGACACGACCGCACGGTGAAGAGGGATGCTCTTCTTTGGCACGAGACCGAGCGGGCTGAAAACGACACTGTTTATCCATAGTGGGAGTACTGAGTCACTGACGAAGATGTACGCCCGCGAATCCTGACCTTCCCGTAGTTGGCGAAGTAATGTGGCCAGGTTGTCACGTGCTGAGCCATGATTGCGTGGGGGATTTTGACGACGAGGTTGTGATTGACGCCATGGACCAGTGCTTCAGGCGATGTGGTCAAATTCGGGTTTGAGGCCATGGAGGTGAGTGAGGATGTGAGATTTGACAGCGGATGGGAGTTTGTTAGGGGTCGCATGTAGTCGGGCGCGAGGACCGTGCCCACAAATGGCGCCCAGAGGACCTGCGTTGCATCCTTTGACAGAAAGAAAACGCAAACAGATGGGTTTTCCGTCCACCAAGGGTATTGCCATGCGGATTACGGGGGGGATGCCAACACAATCGTGCGAAGTGTTGGGTTTGGGGGAGGTGGTGACAGCAGTTGTACTGAAATGGGGGTGACGTGACATGGACGATGTTGGCGTGGTTAAGCCGATATGCACATGGGTGATGGACAGCAGAAGTTGGTAGGCCGCTGGACCGTCGTTGTCGAAGTCGAGATGGGTGTTGAGATGGAGCGGGGGAATGCGGCGCAGGGTGTAATCAGTAGAAATGGTACTGCCGAATTTTTTGAACTTGTCGTCTAGCTGAGGGAAGTGTTCTGGATGGATACGAACGAGTTGGTGGACGCGACGTACATGACACTGGGTTGTATTAAAGAGGCTAGGCGGGAGCATATTCAACACTGACTGGTCCTCACAACTGGTTTGGTTGGCTCAGAGGCCCTAATCTTCTCCGCCGACATCTCACGAAACTAGGTTTCCGTTACACTGAAACCGTCGATTTTCTTCAAGGACGTCTCGTCGATTACGTGTCCTTCACCGCCAATCTAGGGCAGCAAATAAACAATTTAGATGAATAAATAATTTTAAGCAGTTTAGATGAATATATATTTGACACCAATTAAGATGAATAAAAATTGGTTAGTAATTTGACGAATAATTAATTGTAGAATTTTACCTTCATTTCGCTTGCAAGCATTTCAGCCGAGCAAATTTCTCGGCAATAGTTGTACCAATTGCACGCGGTGTCCGTCGACACTCCTTCCTCATCCATGACAGTCTTGGCTGGCTTGTGCGAAGCCCATAACAGACGTAAGAGGGTCTTTAGTGGTAACTTCGACTTCGCAAAGAACGAGCCAGCGCGGATGCTCTTTTCGACCGATCGGTGTGGGGCTTCTTCTGGCATCGCCAGCGCCAACCGTTCTTTGTCTTCGACAGCATCATATTCTTTGCGCAGGAAGGACACGCCATTGAACCCTCCAGGAGGCCAACTTGATGACACCACAGCGCACAAACATCTTCCGAAGCGGTGACCTCCAGGAGGGTTCGGTACGTGAACCCGTCCAGTGCCGACAAGTCGTACATCGCGGGTCAGATTTCAGGGGTTGTACCTATTTCCCATTCATTTGACTGGGTAATTTTGCTGTTTCCGCCGAGATGAAGCCAATACCAGGGGTTTTAGTTTTTTCGTCATAGCTAACTACTTGTGACGTGCAGATGTGGAGTGCCTGAACATATAGTGGAACTCATCAATTAATAGTGGTACTCTGTTGTATTTTGATTCCCGTTTGGGCAAAAATATGGACAAGGGGATCTACCTAAGGTGCGCCCACCTGAGCCTGTTGATGAACAAAGTAGCGTGGACGGAAGAGGAGGACTTCTTGATCTCAAGACGAGGGATCCCGTCGGAATTACATATTCGTTCAAACCTTGGTGAGAGGTCTATGGACAAAATAATTTGGAACGATTTGGACCAAGTTTAGATAGGTATTTTAGGTCAAAGTATTGAATTTTCAGTTTTACAAGATGTAAACTCGGCTGTTTACATTTCGAAAACATTTTAAATTAAGACTTGTCCAACTTTTCATTCGAAATTATACTATGTTTTGCGAGTTTTGCCCAGGCGAAACCGGACTTCGCGATTTTCCGCAGTTCCTGCCCAGTCGTTCAATGGTCAAAGGCAGCGCTATGAACGACGACGAACCCACGCTTTATCTCGAGTTCGATAAAGATGGTACGAATACCAGAATGTATGATTATTACATTCACATGCATTCGGCACTAAACCCTCCAGACCTAGACTAGTCAAGACACTCAAGCGCGCACGACGATCGCCCAGCAGCGCTTCCAAGTAGGTACCACTGTGAGACGATGAAGGTATTATCGCTTTGTTTCGGCTGCGTTACAAGTCTACGCTGTCTACGTGGTTTTACTTCACGAACAACGCCGAAAAGAAGACGGTTTACATGATGCTGGCAGCCGAGCTTAGCGTGGCGATGGACAATGAATACTCAGTGGCTCAAGATAAGGTATGTACTTGTGATTCCAGTTAGGTTTAATCGATCGTAGTTCCCGAAAATAAAATCAGTATAGGCGTTGTCGAATCCGAGTAAGACTGGAAACGCTCCGTCAGCCCCATTGCCTCTCCATTACGATGCCATGTTGGAGTACTGGAGTGACAAAAACGGATTTCGAAAAGAATCTCTCATGTCCACCAACGAGAATGAAAGTATTGATGGAACTCTTTTTTTTTACTTGGTGAAAAGCACTTATATATACATATATATATATATATCGTAGTGAAAAAAGAATCGGAATGCGATGAAGAAGTGTTGCGTGATCGCAAGGAATAGAGATCAAACCATCCAAGTCCAAGAGCCACAGTGGGGCTTTGGAGGCCGGATTTATTCCCATTAAGGACGGTTTGATTCACTAGGGATCATCACTGTCAGCGACGCCAAGTCAATCGCCCAACCCACCAGCAGGGGCGAAATTGGACGATGTATTGGTTGCTATTCAATGATAGTCCCAGACAATTGTGCAACTCGTTGCGCATTTAATCGCACAAAAGGAAAAGTAATATTTAGATTATCAAATTACTACAATCTTTGCAATTCCATTTCGTTTCACCATCAATGCTCGACGGATAAGAGTATTCGTTTCAGTTTCACCATCTGGCATTTTGGAAATAATAGTTTCTATCGCACCGGTTACATGACGCATCGAATAGTCCGTCATTAAAGAGGATAAACATGTTGTGCAGTACGAAACAACATGTAGTAGTGGCTACCGTGCGGTCCAATGATCTTTCGTTCATCACGGTTTTCAAAATTCGAAACCTCTCCTTGGGGTGCCCAAACACACACTCGACCACCATTCGAGTGCTGGACACCTTGTAGTTAAACTGTTTTTGTATGTTTGACAAACACCCGCCTACTTTGTGCGGCCATGTGGTCAACATCCACGGAAGCAAGGTTTATCCAGAGTCGTCGATAATATGACAACCCGTTGGGATGCAACGCCGAATTGTTTGGCCAAGTCACTATACTTTCAATATCTTCCTGTTGGAGAAGGACCCAGGACGGATCTTGACTGGCAAAAACACATGAACATTGAGGAATGGGTCATCATTTCGATTGTATAACCCGTCGTCCTCACGGGGTCTTTGGATGTTAATGAGGGTTCCATCCACAGCGCCAACAACGCCGGGAAATCACTTGATGCTGTTGAAGCCATGTTCGATGCGTTTCCAGTCACAAGTAGGACGGTAGTCGAATCCACGGCTTTGATTAGCTCGCCAACACGTCCAACATCGATACACCACGACTTGGCTATACCAAATGCTGATGCTACTCTCGGTAGCCACCTTCAGACCCCAGGATGTACAAAAGCACGGCCACCTTTTTCTCGAAGGAATGGGTGCATTGGCGTTCGTTGGGCTGCAATTGACGGCGCAGCAACGCCACATGTCAGACTGCTTGGTCACAGCGATGGTTGTCGTAGGAACCACTGCTTGTAACGTGGATCTCCAAGCATAGCGTCAAAGTCAACTTGTGTATAAACCCAATGCGTTCTACGACTAGGTAATTTGTGAGTGTTTTGTCATTGTCACTGGTACACTATGTATGCAACACGTGACCCAGCCTCTTTCATCTCTACAGTGCCGTTGGCACCGGATGCATTTGATAGTCTGCTCGTCTTGTTTTCCGGTGAGTACGAACAACCCAGTAGACGTGGCAAAGGTGGTAGACCTCCGCGTGTTTTCCATGCGCATGCTGTTCTGGCGTTGGTGCTGCACTTCTACACAGCCGCTGTCGACCAGAAGACACTGCAAAAGCTGTTTGCGCTAACACCAAGCACGTGTGCCCGTACTCTGCGGAAAGTAGAAGAAGCATTGGCCCGTGCCCTGGCAGCTTGCCCAGATGCTGCGATCAAGTGGCCGTCGAAGACCACGCAGGCAAGCTGGGCGGCTATGAGCAACTCGAGGGAGCCGCTTGTCCACGGGGTGTTTTCATTCGTCGATGGAAAGAACTTACGCGTGCAGAACCATCGTCAACCGATCTGCAGAATGCAATGTACTGTACAACGGTAGCTGATGCTGGGTGCTTCTATATCTAACGATGGTCTATGATGGTTATACAGCGTATTCGTCACCGGTGTCCTCTGCTTCGGGCTCGACGGCACATTGGTTTGGGGGAGACACAACTGCCCTGGCTCATGGAACGATGGTGAAATAAGCCGGAGGTTGCAAGAGATCCTCGCAGACCCTGCGAAGGCCGATTTTGGCATGAAGGTTGCCTCCGACTCTGCATTTCCGGTCAGTGTCAGGTGTGCTGACCGCATTGTGACCCCGCTGAAGAAAGGGGACCTTGAACGGCATCCTCCAGCGTGCCGACTTGGCCTGAAAGTCATGAGTGACTGCATTACGTCGTTGCGCCAAGCTGCGGAATGGGGCATGGGTGCTGTCAGCAAAGAGTACCGTCAACTGCTCCTGCCCCTGCCCCTGCCATATAACCCATCACTCCGTGCTATGCAACTTGAGAGTATGTTTAAGTTGTACAACTTCCGTGTCCGCCGTACAGGGAAACGCCAGATAAAGAATGTCTTTGGATTATAAAATAGTACTTTTAACTCCTCAAAAAAGTCCTAAACAGGCCTAATTGAACACCTTCAAGACAAGTAAGTACCTTGTACATTTATATTGCAAAATTTAACCCAAATCGGCGATTTCCACTGCGATTTTTTTCTTTGGAACAATTAATCCGAAATTAAATTTCATTCAGATTATGATTCCGAATTACCTAAATAACTCCTAGAACAAACTAAACATAGGTTGACATGGTACTAAATAGAGATCATATAGGACGAATATTCTAAAAAATATGCAAAATGCAGTGCTGGTCGTGGCGCACGCAGCCTATTATAATAGTGCGGTTGTGGAAAGCTGGTGGTGCGGTGCACACAATGGGCACGACTGCCCCACCTCACCAGGCCCTAGAAATGGCCGAGGTACAGTAACGTTAAGTTAGTGTATATGTGTGATGGTGGAGCATCCAATACCTCCGCCGTGGAGGTATTGCCATTGCCTTACCGAAGCAACATACCTTGATCCCCAGTTGCTGAATCGACAGGACTTATGTCCTCGGTGGTCGGCGCTGCTGGGGTCTTGCGTTTGGCCGATGGCATTGCTGTGTAAAGATTCTGAAACGGTGTCCGGATACTCGATTCGTAAAACCTTTAAATCTTTGGATATAATTTTGGCATACAAATATGAAATCAAAATATATCCATTATCTGGATTTACGAAATTTCGTGTTTCGTATCCCAACTGTATCCGGCAGATATATTTCATAAAACATACTCCGAGTATATATTTCGAAGTAGTATGGTGCATTTCATCTAAAGACTACAGATCGGCCATCCTCAGGAGGAGACGTTTTACTATTAAACGCCTCAGTTATTTCAGTTAAACCCCCGTAATGTTGACGTTAAATTATTTTTACTTACGTTTTTTATCTGGTAATTAGGTTAAACATCCTGAATAATCCGGATACAATGGAAACGTTCATACGGATAAGTGCTGTATACAAAGACCAAGATATACTTGATGCTCCTTTTCGGCCAAAATGTGCCTGGCTCCATATATTTCCATACAAAAAGGCTGGTTGGCTTAAATTCTATTACTCGATCAATTTTTCACCAATCGAAATTTTGAACCGTAACTTCTGTTGGTCTTGACCAGTTCTATCATTACGGCTTATTTTCCTAAAAAATATCAATACAAAGTTGGAATAGCTGTGGAAAGACAAGGCATTTTTTTGTTGTCTTTAGTTGAAATGCACTATATTAATATATCTTTTGATCGATGGCGATTTTCCAAGGGTGCTACCGGTAGGGGTTCGACTGTCAGGTCGGCGAGTCCCTGAGACGACATCATTTTTTACTAGTAATACTATAGTAATACTAACGTTATGAACTCTCTCAAAATGGTCCATGCCACGCATCTCAGAGGAGAAGGGCCATTTTTGGATATTTTTCCATTTTTGTAAATTAACAATGACAACTTGGCAGATTTTGGGACAAAATTCGACCTTTCTCATCCATATTAAACCAGATCCAAGATTCGAAAAAGGTCTATTGACACACGCGAGTAACTTCCCGATGGCGGAAGCGAGGAGCTGCTGCCAGCATGGTAAAGCTGTCATCGGTGGAGCAAGGGGGACACTAATGATGTTCACAACGTAATGTCGAGGCATGTGTGGCGTCGGAGGTGGTACCTCTGTCTGGTCGACGCTAAGACCATCCGTAAACCGAGCCAGCGCAAACAGGTTGGTGTAGTATTGCAAGCCCATGCACATGAGATGTTGGCAGTCCACCAGCACGGTGCCATCGCTGAATCCAACACAGTTAACACAAACCAATTCCGTTTGAAATCAACGACATACCTCTCGACCACCGTTTTCGATGAATGGTGACCAGATTGTTCAAAGATCAATTCGCATATGGTCGGTGTCCATTCAAACAAAGTGTGCATCATCATTTCGAATTCACGCTTGGAGATGTCCTCTCGAAGCTTCTTCGTGGCGACGTACGCTTGCATGTCTGTGAAGAATCGCCGCCTCTCTTCGCGAAACTCGATCACGCAAAACAGGAGAAGCTGGTGCACGTCGATCCACTTTACTTCTAAGTCACAAGCACAATGTGAACATCGTTATGGGCAATACGGAGAGGCTGGATACCTTCGATGGGGAGGGCGGTGTCGAGCGCAGATTCCAGAATCAACTTTGGGTCGGGGAGGTAGAAGCTCGCAATGGCAGTTTTGATTTTGCCCTCTGGAAAGCCGCCACTAGGTGTCAACGTGGACGCCATTGGCAGTCCTTGAAACTCAAATACTCCTGATAGAATGGGGGGGCTGTCGAGTGGCGTAGGCTCGTCGTCGACACGGGCGACGCCGTCTGTTTCGTGTTGGGTCGGCTTGAGCAAGGCATCCAATTTGACAAAGATCATGGGGCGATGACAATGCACCAGGGTTTGAAACACTCGGTGGACGATGTGCACGGCCTGAGTGGACGTCAGTCGAGGCACGTCGTCGTGGCCAAGTGGCCGCATGTCGCCTACACAATCCTCCACCTAAAGCACCAACACAATTCCATGTGTACGCGTCGATATGTGGTATATTTGTCTGCTGTTACCAGCTGCCGAGCATGGAGAAACAGAGACAAGTCCGACTTGCCATACCCGACGTTGCCTTGCTCGGCCAAAAACCCGGCAAATAGACTGACTTCGGGCGTGGTGGCCTTCCACTCGTTCGTGCCGTCCATGATGGCATGGCAGGTCTACACACTCATGACGACACGAATACGAGAAGATCGCTGGGGGACCTCATACCCGAGCCACGAGCTCCTTAACACCAAACTTGAGGAACGACCACTGGACGATAAACTCGGGCAGCGCCAGCACCGCGTGGAACGCCGCATATTCGAGCGACTCGGCCATGTACTTGTCGTGGAAGATGCTTCGGATTTGCTTGACCAGCCACGTCCTAGTGTGCGCAACCTCCTTGTCGGCCGCGTACATGTCGGTACCCACAAGATCCAGCAGCCGTGTGACGACTTTAACCACGGGGCGTGCCGCCGGGTGTTGTTTGGTACCACTACTGGCATGCGGTTGTAGTTCCGTCGTGTTCAACTTGTCTTGATGGGAAGAGGTCCCTGTTGCATCCGTATGCGACGGAGGGGAAGCAGTGGTGGCAGTTGTCAACGAGAAGGCTGGGACGTGGTTTTGGATGAGTTGGTCGTCACGAATGTCCTGGACGCCATGGGCCCACACGTCGACGTCGTGGTCAGCTGTGAGAAACAAAGACACCATGTCGTGAACGTTGATCGAGTCTTGAAACAGCGCGGCGGCGGCGAGCTTCAAGACCACCGTGTTGACGCATTTGCGGACTGCCGCGGGGACGTTCTGAATCTCGCCGTCGCGGATGGACATGTTCAACGTCGACACCGTAGCCGAATGAGACGCCGTTGCATCCGTCAGAGTTGAGAAAGGGGAGACGTCGACGACGACGGGGGGCTCCATCGGGGTTGGGTCCGCTACAGGAAAGAGTGTGCGGGACGACGTCTTGGACGGTTTGAAAAGCCGGCGGCCGGGGGGGGGCGACACGTCGTTGTTGTTGGTTCGTCGGGGTGAGGCGGACGGGTCGAATCCATCTGTGACAATCGCGCCTTGACTTCCGTTGCAATGGTCAAGATACAGCACTGGGCCATCGTCCAACGCCGCTTCAAGCACGTCCAAATTCGTGTGCAGCATGTCGTACAGATCGGCCACATGCAAGGCCAAGTTGGCATTTTCGTCGCCACTACATTCGACCATGTCGTCGCATCGTTTCATAAAATACCAGTGGGTTACGTACGACGTCATGGCGAGCAACTGGTGTCGGACTTGGACAATCGCGGCGGGTGTGCCTTGTCGGGTGGGTTGTTGGGTGTTTATGGGGGATTGAGAACGCGCGGCGTGACCAAGCGACAAAGGGGGTGCCGCCGCCGACGAGCTTTGCAGTCGATTTCGCAGCTCTGCTTCGCGCTCGTACGCTGCCAGGAGATCCAGTTTCTGCCGCTCGACTTTGTCCATCACGGCCATGAGCTTGGTTTCCGTGGCTTCCAGCACTGGAAGCAGCACCTTGGTCAAATGCTCGGCCAATTCGTTCGAGCGGCTTTGGGTGGTTTGGGGGTTGCTGCCGTCTTCCGAGTTGGTTTGGGTGGTGGCACTCGTGCAAGCAGAAGGGGGGGGCTTGACCACACTGCCAAGTTGTTTGACAGATTTGGTCGACGGAATGGAAATCAACGGTTGCTTCTTCGGCTTGGGTTTGTGCATCCGCGCCATCGTTTCTTGGATCGTCCTGGCAACGTGTTGAATATGTTGGGTTTTCCTAGTTGAGCAGGGACAATAACGCCGATAAGTTGAGGTTATGACGGCGTACTCGCTGTGAAAAGCTGCCAGCAGGGTCATGTCGGACTGGGATTGCGTTCGAAGGTCGTGCCACGACGCTCGTATTTGCTGCAGCTTTTTCTACGACCCACTCCCTTGCCAACGACTGTGTCATTTGTGTGACAGAGTACCTGAAAGAGCTGGAGGGTATATCGAAACACGGGGTTTCCATTCACAGCTCCCCGTTGCATATTGACAATGTCCTTTGACAGCCCCAATTCCGTGGCCACAACCTTTGCGATCGTTGCGTTCACGCTCATCTAATTGCATTTTCCCTTTGTCATCACGACACTAGTATAATGTGATAAAACCAACGTACTGTGACACTGCGAATCTGCTTTTGACACCCGTCGAGTTGCTTGGCTACGGCAATGCGAAGGCTGGTATGGGCATCACGCAACCGCTTGATCTAACCAAGTATCCGCGGCGTAGGTTATATCCATGCGAGCATTGAATAGGTCTACATACCTCCATCACAACTGTGGCCAGGATGCGGCGAATGTGGTCGATTTTGCGACGACCTCTGGCCACGTCATCGATGGCAACGTCGCGTTCCAGCACAACTCGGGCGAGGTCTTGGAGGAGCTGGAGTTTGTCTGTCCTGAGCACTTGGATTTGATGCTTGAGGAGGTCGTGCTCGTCGCTTCCTCGCGTCAGGTCCAGTCGACGTTTGAGCGTATCTCGTTGCGCCAAGAGCGCGTCGTGGGCCGCCTGCAGCGCCTCTTTGTCCGCCTTGGCCGTTTCCAGCATGGTGTCTAACCGCTTGAGCAGCTCGTCCTTGTGTCCTTGGTCGTGTTGCTGGACCCGCAACGCTTTGTCTCGATTCGCCAAGTCGATTGAATGCCGAAACACTTGATCTTGCAGCTGGTCGATTCTGTCCTGCAGCACCGCGGCTGCGTCGGTGGTCAACGGGGACGTCGAACATTGGCGCATTGTTGCTCGAGTTGGTTGCTAAGCAGCACACCAAGTATCACATCCCAAGAAGAACGCGGTCACAAGTACCTCGTGCTGCGTGGTTTCGGCCTTCAATCGAAGCAACAACACTTGCTGCTCCACGTGCATGTCGCTGACTTTGTTGGACATGGCAGCATTCTCATGCATCATTTGCATCGACTTGGCCGTCAGCTCCTGCGATATTCGCAACTGAATCCACTTCCCTGGACGTTCAATACATTGGGTAGGTGATGACTTGTTTACCTTGATCTGCATTGCTCCGACGTCGCGGTCTTGGATTGCCTACGCAACTCCACCGTGTGAATAATATGCACTCTGTCACAGTTATTGTTTCATCCTCCTACGTCTGCCAGGCTTTGCTTCGTATCTAGCACTGCCCGTTCAAGGCCCAAACATCGCTGACTCATCTCATGCATCTCGACCGCTTGTTGGTCGAACGCTTGTGTTTTGATATCCAGTGCATTCTCCACTTCCCGCACTCTATCATGTGCGACCGACCCATAAGGATTCAAACGCTGTCGCAGTTTCCAGAGTAGAAGAAGCGTACTGAAGTTCCAGCTGCTTGACTGTGGCGGTGGCCATCAATTCCGCCGCCACGGCGTCGCGTAACACTCCTTCCATGTCTACGATCGTGCCGTGTTGGTCGTGTACGGTTGCTTCTGCCGCGTCGACGCGGGCCTGCAAGCCACTCTTGTCACGCCCGAGGGCCTCCGTCCTCTTTCGGAGCACCTCGTAGGCGTCCTAACATCGTAGTTGCTGACATATATAATCATGGCATGGCGAAAAATGTACCTCGAGACGGAGAATGGTACGGTGCGCGACTTCGAGTTTGGCCTCGCGCTCTTTCAATAGTGTGGGCAAATGCGTGAGAAGATCCCGATAATACCCTGCGACAGTGTGCACAAAGTCGTGGGTACAACTATCCCAGATGTCGTTGGCCACGGCGTTCAGGAGCGCCGTCACAAACGCTGGGTTATCGCCTTGTTGGAAGTGACATTGGGCTTGGGCGATCACAAGATGCAACTGCCGCTCGGTTTCCACGTCTCCCCATGCTGCCTGCCTACGAGGGTACATTATCAAGCATGCATGCGTATTCGTGTGAAGACATGGCGACCAACGTACGAGAGGCTGGGAACGTCGTAGGCGCGAAGCATGTTGGTGAGCCAGGCCTTCCCCATCGAGCGAGACAGTTGCGATACTGGACCTACCATCGCAGTGAAACCAGGTGATGAAGCAGATAAAGGACAGACCACGCTGACAGAACGCTCGGATGTCGTCGTCTAGATGGATGGCTCCGGCGGCTTGCGGCTCTAGCATTTCTGTCGAACCACACGTCGATCGTTTGATTTTCAACGAAATGATATCAAGGATAAGTACCGTCGTTTGCAGTAGAACACGACAAGCTGCGATTGTGTTTAGACGGGGTCAAGTGCCGCGACCAAAACGTGGAAAGCAATGACTGCTGCAAAACTTGAATCGGTGTCTCTGTTGGCGACGAGGGGGGTGGAAGAGGGGGAGGTGGCTCTACTTGGGTGGGAATTTTCTTGGTCGGGGAGTCCATGGGCATGCGCACTGCGGAAGCGCGGGAGGCATGGGGGACCAACGGGTCGCGCGACTTGGACGAACGAAGGCGCAGTTGCTCGTCCTTGCTCTTTCGGAGGGGCAACACTAGAGTGGGCGACGTTGGGGCAGATTCGGATGTTATGTCGTTGTGTTGGTCACACAAGTGTTCGACAGGGATAGCAATATGGGAAGCTTCCACGCGGTGAAACTGCTGCCGAGACGGCGACGACACACTTGTGGATGAAACGATCGCGACACCAGGTGTGCTGGAGCTGTCATGGAGGGGGCTCAAATAGAATCGCTACAGCCAAGTCATAAACGTTTTGCCAGGAAGAATGATTGCATGATGCCGTACATCGTGCGCTTTGCGACGTTTCTTAAATGCGTTCTATCCATCAAGTGAATGTCCTCGTCTGCCGTAGCTCCACACCAAGGCATTTCTCGTACTTGTAGCGGGGAAGTTGGAGCCGCTCCTTTCGAGGGTGACGGCGCCATGACAAGTCCCTGTCACATACCCTCCACCGTTGGACACATCGATCATCGCTATCGACCTTGCTCATACCCTTGAGACGGTTGGGGGCGTCGCTGATGCTTCGCAGTCTCCCGCCGTAGTTAGCAACCGCTTGCCCTGAAGAAAGTCCATGCTACAACGACAAAACGACCAACAACACAATCGATGTTGAGATAAATTAATATTATTGATAATTTTTAATCGAGCGGATCAAATGCCATACAATCCCCAAGTCAACGTGACGATTCCGCGATTAATATTTTGGCATCGCGTGGACGTGTCGTGAACCGTCGCGCTCGTTTCCCATGATTACGACGTGACGCTCGAGTGCGCAGTGTGCGGCGGCGGCTGGTAGCAGCTCGGCAGACACTTGAGCTGGAGCGCATTGAACGCGTACATGGTCTTTCCCGTGTTGACGAGGACGTTTGTCCGTCGCACGCCGCGCTCCCGCATGGTCTGGCACAGATGCATGCCCTGCTTGACCCCCATCTCCTCGACGAGGATCTTGGAAAACTCCAACGTCACCGACATGGCCGTGCGATCTTTTCCGCTCTTGCAGCACGTGGTCCGTCCCGCGCCGAGTCGTCGACACAGCTCGCTCGATTCAACGAGGATGTTGACTTGCTTCTTGTTGGACTGGTTGTCGATCGCGCCATGGAGTGCCGCCAGCAGGCGGTCCACTTCGACCACTTGGTCCCGGCTCACGTGTTGCATGTACCGTCCAATGTACTCCATGAGGGTGGACAGGCTCTCGCGGTTGATCTCGTCTTGCAGCGACGTGCCGCCGACCGTATTCGCCACCGACTGCACTTCGTTGATGCCTTGGGTGAAGAGCACCGTGGTCACTTTGACGCGGCGACGGGTCTGCAGAGGCAGCGGCAGCGCATAAAACGTGCGCTCTGGCATCGCAAACGTCATCACAACATCGTCTCCGTCCAACGCGATCGACGAGCAGTCGCACTCTGTCGCACGTTCGTACGGTGTCACATGGATGTACACGTGTCGGTTCAACCAGTGCACGCCCTCCGACATGTCTTCGAGCATCCCCTTCTCGTTTCCCATGGTGCTCAGGAGCGACTCAATGTCCACCAAATACCCCACCTGCGATGCCACCGCCAACGCCGAGAAGTACGTCGACGCGCTCGAGGCCCAGTGGTTATCGGCATCCAGCGCCATGTGCACACTGGTGAGGAAGGCGGTGGCCACGACGGCCATGAGCTGGCATGACACTACGTCCAGCCGATGCTCGTGGACTTTGGCCTTCTTGCGCAGGCCGCCATCCTTGAACCCGTGGAGATGCGCGGCCGAGCACCCGTGTGTGACCACGGTCCACAGTCGGTGGTCATGTCCTTGTTGCTGCACGGTGGACGCGCGCATCGAGTGGCACACCAAGTTTGTCGGCATAAACTCCATCGTTTCGTCCTTCTTCATCGTGCTTCGCTTCAAGCAGCTCGTGATCCCGTGTTCTTCGCCTTCCAGCAACATGAGCCGCAGCGCAGCGTACCGTCGCTCGGCCTGGATGTACTTGATCTCGCGTTCGTCGCAGTCGTCCACTCGGGCCTTGAGCGCGGCATAACTCGACGCGGTGTCGTTCGCTCGACTTGACGACGTCTCGCTATGCAACACGGTCGACAGGGGCCGCCCCACGACGGGAGTGAAGTCGCCCGTAGTTGGAGTAGCCGCCGACATCGGCGACGTGATGCTCGATCGGGTGACGTCTCGGCTCTCAATCTCGTCCATTGCCGCCCGCGCCGCGTCCTTGCGCAGCCGGTTGCGCTGCTGCAGCATCTTAATGAACGCCACGACGACCGACAGCGCGGTCCTCGAAGCGCCCATTTCCTCTGTCACATGAACTTGGGTCTGGCCGCGGGTCGACAAGAAAGCAGCAGGACGGGGTGGACTGGACCTTGTCGCATCCACCAAGTACTGCTGCGATGCAAAGTGGTACAGATGGTCCATCTTGAGCGCGTCGGGGGTCGGCACCTGCTCGACGATCAAAAACAGCGACGATGTTGTGGGGTACTCGCGGGGATGCAGGTCCAAGAGGAGGGGTGTGCCGTCGTCCGAGTCAGCAACCAGGTCCTGCGTGGCGATGGTGAAGGCGCCGAGGGGGGCTTGCATTTTCAGAGATTCCGACGCCGGACACGTGATTCCAAACACGTCAAACTGCACCACAACATTGGCTTCGACCATGGACACTGGCAGCGCCAACACGCCGTGGAAGTCGCGCACCCACCGATGATCACCCAGCCGGCGAACGCTCTGCGTACACTCGACTTCGGTGCGGGAGATTTCGGACGCCGAAATCGCTCCAACTTCCAGCGCTGTGAGGGACACCACGAGCATGCCTTGGGCGGCTGTGTGGTCGTGCTCTGACCCGAATGACACGGCAAAGTGCACACAGGGCGGCGGGAGGACGTGGACGAGGCTGAGCGAGCAGAGGGTGTTGGTCTGGTGCGAGTCTTGCTTTGAGATATTGCGATTCGTCCAGCTCGTGGCCACCAACGCAGTGAGCAGTTTCGAAGACGACGTGCGGCTCCGCGAGTAGTCGTGGGTGTCGGACATGGTGTGGAGACTGTTGGTCCGTCGCACGAGATGTAGCGGTGTGCTGCCGTCGTCGTCGGAGATCGTCGTCGATTGTTTCAGACGCGGGATGAGGATCGGAGAGGTCGAGGCGATTTGCTTGATGTCAACATGGACAGCGGGCGTCGAGTTGCCGCAGTCGTCGATGGATTTGAGTGGAGGGGACATCCGTCCTCGTTGTTCAATCGGCGAGAAACTATGGCGGATGGACACGTGCATGGCTGCGATCCATCGATCCATGCATGGAACTCCTCCGTCGTCGTGGGCACTTAGCACCAGCCTACGACTCTTTGTCTTGATGCAAAAGTGTCCTGGGGTCCCAGCAAACACGTCGATCGTTGTCTCGGAATCCAGCATGACTTCACCTAGGAGTTCCAAATCGACGCTCGACTTGTAGTAGCAAAGCAGTGGCCGATCGCTGCGGAGGATGAACCATCGCTTCCGCCATGTCCGCCAGAACGACCCCTGCTTGACCAAGCTCCCTTCGAACGCAACCTGCGCTCTGCTGAATCGCTCCTGCGGCGTGTACTTGGTCAATTTGGACTTTTGATTGTCCAACGTGCGGCGCATGAGCAATCCCATCGTGCGAGATCCTGCATGCGTTGGGAGGTACTGGTCGTCCCATGTACCAGACTCGGTCACCGACAGCCTTGGGGTCGTCGACAAGCCAGACGTCCGCGGCAAATCCGCCGGTGGGGTTGCCATCGCTGGGTGCTTTGCTAGGTTACTGCGCTGTCGCTGGGGATAAAATTTGAACCCACTACTGCAGCGATAGATTGAAAATGACAAAAACGGGGGTTCGACCCACCACCCACCCACACTCCTCCACCAACCCGATTTTTGCTTGCAGCATAGTCGGGTCACTTTGGTCAATCTTCCATCTTCACAAGGCTCCTTGGCTCGCCTAGCCCAAGGTTTGCATCGTCGTGGAATCGTCGATATACCAGCATTATCGGACTTGCGCGATCGATGGCATCCCTGGCACCCACATTTGTGACAAAACCAGGGACTCGTCATATTATGCTGTTAATTGTTGCAAACTTACAACATTTTATACCCATAACGTTAACGGTTTACCGTCCGCACATGCGACGAAGTTTGAGCACACTGGTGGCCGACGTATGCCGCGGCTGGCTTATGCCGACGCCACGTCCAACGGGGACGGAGATAGTCAACGGAGCAACTTGAAGTTTGGGAGAGAAACGGCCCATCCATTTCGGATCACTTGGCGGTGATGAAATAAGACACAACGGTTGACATCCCGAGATAAATGCCCGACATTTTTTCAAAAAAAGTACTTCGACTAACTCCATAAGTTACTCGTACCATTCATAACATCGTATACGTATACCCCCTCAAACTGTGACACTGATGCGTTTTGTTTCGAGGAAGCACTTGGCGACCACACGAATGTTTTGCCCTCGCGACATGATAAACACGTCTTTTATAACCAGCCCAAACGTGCATTGGATTGGATAATATTCAGCGGCCATCAACACACATGGAACCACCAATCACGATTCTCGATGACCATGAATAGAAAAGGCCTTGTTTATTTGCTTGCATTGTCTCTCCGAGATCGAAATGTGGGGCTGGGTTTGGCGTTCATTATCACCACAGGAAGAACTTTGAAGCATTGGCAATATCAAGCGCCTTCGAAACGACACATCTAGGGGCAACCAGCGCACTAATTGCCTCGGGCATGTGGGGAATGATGATGTTGAACGTTGAGGATGCGTGAATATGCTCAGAATATAAAACACACCAATCAAAACACCACTTTTGAGAATCCTGACGTTGGATTGGCTGATAGGGAATGCGTCGAACCTTTGTGTTTGAACGTCGAAATATCTGCGCATACTGGTTGATATTTACTTTTTCCCACCATGTTGAACAACCTCAGAATCCTGTCCCGAACTCCGTCGGTGATCAAGCATCATCAACTCGCAACGTTTGCCGCGGGGTGCTTCTGGAGTGCCCAGCTGCACTTCCAGTGCGTCACTGGCGTCATCAGCACCCAAGTTGGCTTCATCAATGGCCGAACGCATGAACCAACATTCGAAGAAGTATGCGCAGACACAACCGGCCATGCTCTTGCCGTCCAGATCACATTCGACTACACCGCCGTGTCATACGAAGACTTGCTGGAGTACTTTTGGGCAATCCAATCTTCGTACGAAGGCCTCGACGACATGGACCTTGGTTCACCCCATCGCTCCGGCATCTACTTCCACAGCGACGCGCAACATGCTACTGCCGTCGCGTCCAAATCCAAGCAGGAAGCACTTCTTGCGCGCGACATTTGGACAGAGATCGCCCCCGCGGGAGTATTCTACCCTGCAGACGACTACCACCAGCGGTATCTGGAGAAGGGCGGGCACTGCGTGCATGACAACAAGCATCCCTGCAGCGGTAGTCTTTAATTGCGTTACAGTTGGGTTGCGGTTTTTAGAACAATGAACGGAAGTCTTTTAATATTTAAAGAAAAGACCCGTGTCGATGCGTTTCTCGGTCTTTTGTTCCAAGCCCAATTCGCCGACGGTATCGAGGATTTTGCGCTTCTCCTTGTCCGCTTCGATTTCTTCGAAGGACTTGGCCGCTTCCACGGCATGCGCCTCCGACAACTACGTGTTAACCACATGAGCCAGTCATCGATATACATGAAAGAACGCAATGACGCGTGCGTACTTCGACATAATCCAACGAGCATTGCTTGATGAATTCAATCTCTTCCGAGGTCAAGTCGCGCACGGCACGGGCAGGGATACCAGACCACAACTACGTTAACCGTGAGAGACCATGCTTCGAAACATGCAAGAGATATGCGACAACGTACTTGGCCGGCGGGGACGTTCTTGCCTTGGGTCACGATGGACCCGGCCGTAACGATCGAGTTCTCGCCGACCACGGCCCCATCCAAGACTTGGGCACCGGTGCCGATGATGCATTGGTTGCTGATCTTGGCCGCATGGATGATGGCGTTGGGTCCGATCGTCACGTTGTTCCCGATGATGGTGGGGAAATCGTTCGCGATCTTGGCCGCGTGGACAACGGCTTGGTCTTGGATGTTCGTGTTGTCGCCAATGGTGATGGTGTTCACGTCTCCACGGACAGTCGCGCCATACCAGACGGAACTTCCTTGACCAATGGACACTTCGCCGATCACAGACGCATTCGGAGCCACGAATGTCGTGGCCGCGAGCGTGGGCTTGTGGCCGGCGAACTTGACCAACCGAGTCGACGGCACCACTACAAGTCACCGTAAGACATGGCAAGGAGAGAGGTAGTTTAACACATACATCGCTCGGTGTAGGTAAGCGCTCCTTCAATGGAGACGCCGACTTTGTCCAGTTTCTGCCCGAACGCACGGAGGGTGTTGCCTAAAGCCTGCATGCTGCCGTCAAATATTCACGTCACGTTTCGGCTCCCCATATTTACCAGTCAATTGTTTTATCCGTATCCGGATAAAACCATACAGCAAAACCATGAGCACATTTACTATTAGTGCCATCGTTCCTTTTTGACACTGTGGTCAATCTTAATCTTTACAAACTATCTACAAAACGATGACACACGCACCCCCTTTCCATCTTTGAGTCCATTCTCTTTTAGAGTAGTTGCTGTCCAGGCCTCGGACGAAAATACGACGCAGTATATTGTCGATTTGATACAAATTTGGGGAGGGGGTGCAATCGAATCGCTGACCAAACCGATCCACAATCGATCTGATTGGTTGAATTTCATTGAGAAGGTTTTGATTGGTTAATAATTATGAACTCAACTGAAGAAGCCAATCAAATCGATTTAAATATCAACGAGAAACCACGCCACAACACGAAATTTCACTCGAAAGCACAATATAAGGATGAAACTATTTTCACTCAAATTGGCATATTTTTTCTTATTAATCATTATCTCATCAATGCAATCAAGACAGCCTCTTTGGTCTAGTGGTATGATTCCTGCTTAGGGTGCAGGAGGTCCCGATTTCGATCATCGGAAGAGGCCACTCTTTTTTCCGCAAACAAAGTGGAATCACATTTAGTCGTTTCTAGCAGGTGGCGATGGTACTTGCTTATTTGCCCCTGCTTGTCCACAGGGGTCAACTTGTTAATAACTTGCGGGCAAAACGAATACGGCGGGCGTATTTCTATTTCGACGCCATCTACTACAGTATTATCACTTGACAATGTGAATGCGTTTACAAGCGGCGGAACCGACTTCGACGACCATAGATGCGTCGAAAGTAGAACATGCCAATCCCGGCTCCCACAAGATCCGTAACGTGACCGCTTCCCTGTACGATATTGCCAAGGGCACCCCAGAGGTCTCGTAGGATGAAGAGAGTTCCCGCGGCATACGCAGGGAGAGGGAGTATGAACATGACACGGAAAGTGTTGCGTGGAAACATGGAGATGGAAAAGGCTGTGACAGCGTTTACGGCGCCGGACGCACCAAGGCTCAAACTGTTGCGGCTGGAGTAGAGCGGTTGCGACACGACTTGCGCGAGGGACACGGCGACTTCAAGTTGCATTAGTTGAGGTACGAGGACGTTGCATGAAGCACATACCTGCGCTGCCCAGATAAAGACCAAGGAACCGCTTGGGGCCCAATATGGCACACACTTCTCGTCCGAAGAAGAACAGTCCCGTCATGTTCCCGAAGAAATGTATAGCGTCCGCGTGCGAGAACGCCGCTGTGAGCAGGGTGTGGACGTGGCCAGTCTTGATATGCGCGGGGGACGTGGTGAAGTTGCTCACCATGAAGTGTCTCTTCGCAGTTGTGTCCGCTTTCTGCCACATGCACATCACCAAAGCATTGACGCCTATGAGGCCGTAGATGACGTTATCGGAGTTGAACGAGTCAAGTCGACGAGCGATGTTGGTGAACTCGCGGCTGCGCAATGGCGCTGGTGACTTAGACATCGCGAGGCCATGCGAAGGAGGCTTCCATGGTACGTGTGCATGCTTTAGGGGTCGGAAGGCGCTGCCGTGGACTCGATTCGCGAGTTTCCGGATCGACATCATTGCAGTCTTGAGAAGTGGAAAAGTGTTTTGTCAATTGATTTGCTAAAATCTGACCAATCGTATCACAGTATGCATATCTCTCAAAGTGTTAACCGGAACACTGTTCATCGTCCGGTTAATGAAATGAGATACAGTGATACGATTGGTCAGTATATTATCACATTTTAGCAAACCATTTGACGGAACACTACCACTTCAAAACGTCCGCAACAATGATGTCGATTCGGACGCTGGCGAGTCGCGTGACGGTCACCCGCGGCAGTGCCTTCCGACCCCTAAAGCATGCAAATGTACCGTTGAAGACTTCTACGTATGTGCTCGCGGCGCCCAAGTTCATGCCACCAGCGCCATTGCGTAGCCGTGGGTTCACCAACATCGCTCGTCGACTTGACTCGGTGAACCCAGACCATGTCATCTTCGGCCTGATTGGCGCGAACGCATTGGTGTTGTTCATGTGGCAGACAGTCGACACAAGTTCGAAGAGACAGTTTATGGTGACCAATTTCACCACGTCCCCCGCGCATATCATGAGTGGCCGCGTCCACACCCTGCTCACGGCGGCGTTCTCGCACGCGGATACCGGTCATTTCTTCGGGAACATGCTCGGGCTGTTTTTCTTCGGGCGAGAAGTGTGTGCGATCTTGGGTCCCAAGCGGTTCCTTGGGTTGTACCTAGGCAGCGCAGGTATGTACTTCATGCAACGTCCTCGTACCTCGACTAATGCAGCTTGAAGTCGCCGCGTCCCTGGCGCAAGTTGTGTCCCAACCGCTCTACTCCAGCCGCAACAGCTTGAGCCTTGGCGCGTCCGGCGCCGTGAACGCCGTCACAGCCTTTTCCATCTGCATGTTTCCGCACAGCACCATCCTCCTCATGTTTGTGCTCCCGCTGCCCGCGTATGTGGTGGGAACTCTCTTCATCCTTCGAGACATTTGGGGGGCCGTCGGCGATCGCAACACCGGAGTCGGCCACGTCGCGCATCTAGCGGGGGCCGGCATTGGCATGTTCTATTACCGGCGCATGTTTGGCCGTCGAAGTGGGTTCCGCCGGTTTTAAACCACAAGAAACATGAATACCACTCTGTCGCATTTGGAGTAGTTTACAGATCGAACAAGTCTCATACACTGGGCAATCTCATAGAATGACGAACAGTCAACCCGACAAGCACTGTAATAACTACCGTACAGCATCACACACGAGTCATGGATGTATTTACTATGATTACTGTACGAACGTTACGACGCTACTTGGTTGAAGCACACGACGATGGCACTGATGTTGTCATGGCTGACATACTCTTGTGCTTTGAGCACAAGCTCTTGGGCCGCGAGCTGGACGTCGCCGTGGTTTCTCAGCTTGCGACGGATGAAATTCACGGCTTGCTGCGACGATAACACGTCAAATAGCCCGTCGCTCGCTAGCAGCAAAAACTCATCGGCGGCGCTCACAGTGTGCCACGTCACTTCGGGCGTGGCAATGAGGTGGCCGCCCGACTTGTGTGCAAAGTCTCCAAAGGCTCTTGACACGGCTAGAATCCCGTCCAACCGGCCGTTGTGTACAAACCCGCCGGCTGCTTCCACCTACTCCAACGCATAGTGAGGTTTGTGGAATTTAGTACTACTAGTAGTAGTGATCCTCCTAAAATGAATTATCAAAACGATGTCGCAAGTGCAATGTTGTACGAAGAACGACACCAAGACAATCATTCCCGTGGACATATTTTATACCCTGGCCTTTTCCGACGGGTTGTTGGCCTTGTGGTCGATGGTGAGGTCGATGGCGTCTCCGTCCTGGCACAGCACGCCGCGGCAATCGCCGACGTTGGCCACATAGAGTGCCACGTCATCGCTTTGTTTGACCAGAACGGCAAAGACAGCCGCGGACCCTGAAAACGACATGGGCGTCGGCATCCGTTCATTCTTTTGCGCGGCGATGCGTTCCATGTCTCGTCGCAGGAGCTCATCGTCCATGTCTCGGCAGCCTGCCAATAATGTATAAATATATATCTGACCCTCAACCAGAAACATTGCCCAGGTACAGTGCAGCAGGCAGACTTTTTCCAAACATCGGGATAGATGTATACACCATGAAGAATAGCGTACCCAACTCTATCGCAGTCTGTGGCGACAACGACGACGTAGTCGTCCAGTGGTTCCAAATCCGATGGTGCAGGTCTGCCTGCAGTGCCATAGCCGTGTCGCTGCCGTTGTGGCCGTCGAACACTCCGAAGAAGGCGACGGACTCGTCAAACGGACACCGCGCCAACGCCAAACTCCGGTCCTCCATGTACGGCCGCGACCCTTTGGCTTCGGCGTACCCGGCGCGCAAGCCCAAGCCGAGATTTTCTCGAATTTTGCTGCTCACGTAAACTTGCACGACGGCGTGCATCCCCTCGTGGTGATGGTCGTCGTCGTCGTCGACGGGAGCCACGTCCACGTCGGCGTCTGCTACGTGGAAGCGTGGCGACTGCAGCAAGTCATCGAACGTGTCGTTCACGTCCACGTTTTCGTCGGCGTCGCTGTAGTCGGACTCGTCGGCATCGCTGCTGCTACTGCTGCTGCGGCTGTGGCTACTGTTGCTGCTGGTATCGCCGTGGCTGCGGTGACGGCTGTTTCCGACGCGCGGCTGGCTGAGGAGGAGGCGACCGCTGTCCAAAAGCCCGAGGCTATCCCCGTCGTCCCCCATCACTTGATCCACCACTTCGTCGTCGTCGTCGTCATCTGACGCCACGTCGTCGTCCACCATGGCCACGTCAGCAAACAAGTCGGAAGTCGACAGCTTGGACGCAGAATTGCTTCGACTGCCGCCGCCGCCACCATCGCCTGCGGTTTCGCTTCCCCTTGTGCCGCCGCCGCGTGAACTCGTGCGGCTGGACTTGCGCATGTTTGTGGCTTTGCGTCCCATCGTCACATCGTCCGACGATCCGGCCAGCGGGTGCAGCGGGATGCGCGACGCAACGCTAAAGTCCTGCGACGTCGCTTGAAACAGCACCTTGCGCGCTTGGTAGTCACCAGCTTCGTTGCGAAACACTTCGGACGTGACCATGAGAAAATCCTTTTTCCGAGACAGTTGGCGCTTGGACAAGTCGTCGTCGGTCAGTGGTTCTGGCTTTGGGCCGTCGCCAGGTGGACCCGTGGTCGGCGTGTGACAGGGCTGCTTGGAGGCCGGCAAGATGATCTCTGTCACATGCGCCCGTTCAACCGAAAACGCCATCCGCTTCTGCTCCAAGAGGAGGTCTCGCACACGCTCGGACAGGTTGTGGCCATCCATGAGCGCCACACGCTTGTGATGTCGCCACGCCGAGATGACGCGGCTAGTTTCGTGGCCAAAAAGCGAGTCCTGCGACCCTTTTGACCGGAGGGACGCGGCGCTGCCGGTCGACGGATGCTTGAGGTGGCGGTGGTGGTGGTGGTGGTGGTTGTGAGGAATTACCGTGGCCGCCGACGCCGTGCGCTTGGGGGACGACGTCGTCGTAGCAATCGACCCGCGGTCACTGCTGGAGCTCATCGAGTTCATCGACCCGTGCGACCGCAGCGATAAGTTGAGCGGGGGCTGCTGCTTCTTCTGCTGGAGGATGAGGTGCGCTTGGATGAGCGACGCCTGGAGGCGCTCGTCGATTCGCTCGGGGATGTTTTCAATCGCCCGCTCCGACTCGTCCAGACTCACAACGTTCACAGTCGATTGGTCGCCCTTGAACACGTTGACGATCGGATGGCTGCCTTCGCACGTGACCCACTCGTGATTGATCACGTCAGCCAACACGATGCGCCGCTCGGGGTCCTTGGTCAGCATGCGCGTGAGCAGGTTCTTCAAGTGCGGCTCCAGAACGACCCCCTCGGGAAACGTTAGCTCGTCGCGCTGGACTTTGTCGGCCAGTTCGATCTCGTTGTCGGCGCTCCACGGCGGATGTCCAAACACCTACACATGACTTAGTACACAGGCTAGACATGCCCGAACAAAGCATCGCATGAGACGTATATACGTGTGTTGTTTTAAAGGACGTACGAGCATGAACAGCGTCGCGCCCAGCGACCACACATCCACGGACGGCCCCGTGTATTCGGCGTCGATGTTGAACATCTCGGGTGCCATAAACGCTACAATACATGTGTATGTATTAATCAAGGTCTGTATTCGATTCCATCGGTGTTATTGCATTTTGAAAATCCTCTTGTCGTACCTGGAGTTCCCTTGGCAACCGTCAGCGTCTCTGCTTCGTTCATGACCATCCGCGCCGCCCCAAAGTCGGCAATCTTGGCCACGTCATCGGACGTCACGAGGATGTTTTCCGGCTTGATGTCTCGATGCACGACCTTGTGAAAGTGGAGGTACTGCAGGCCACACAACATGTCGCGCAGGTACTTGCGGGCCAGCGCTTCCGGCAGCGGCGCGCCTCCCGCGACTTCGGCGAGGTTGCCCTTTTCAATGTACTCTTGCACGAGGTACACCTTTTGACTCGACGGGTCGTCGATCACTTCCACGAGCCGCACCACGTTGCGGTGGTCCAGCTTCTTCATGATGGCCACTTCGCGGCGCAGAGCGTCCTGGAGCGAGTCCTCGCGGTTGGCCATGCGTTGAACAAATGTCTTGTGCATGATCTTGACGGCGTAGAGCTGTCCATCCTCCTCGTTCGCGCACAACTTGACCGTCCCGAACGACCCCTTGCCAAGCTCGCCCTTGATCACGTACTTGTTGACGACGGTCTCGCCATTCGCAAGTCGATGTTTGCGCAGTGTGCTGGTTTCAAGTGCGATACTGTGTCTGGGCAAGTCATTGGGCGTCGTGGAGTCGGTAAACGATGTCGCGTTTCTACATGGAATCAAATCGCATTGTCTTGGGCTTTGTACTGTACATAGAGGGGGGGGGATAAATCATGATGGACGTACTCGGCGGTTGCGCTGTGCCTGAGCAGCCGGTTGGTCTTGTTGCGCATGGCGCGCCGTGTGGCCTTTTCAATGTACGCATGTTGGATCACCCGTTGAAAGCGCTCCGATAGCAAACACTCGTCAAAGTCCTCCTTGGTCAAGTACAAACACTTGACGGGCCCCACGGCCACCACCGACGCCGTCCGCGGCTCCTTGTAGATGAGACTCATCTCCCCAAACACGTGCCCTTCATACAGCCGCGTCAGTTCCTTGTCCTCGCCGGCGTCCGTTTCAATCACCGCCGCTTGGCCCCGCGTGATCATGTAGAACCGCGTGCCTTCCTCGCCTTGCCGGACAATGTACTCGCCTACAAGCATCGTATCCCGTCAGCCACGCATCCAATGGGTTCCTAAGGATGGCCCAGTCCAATGGCCCTTGCCTTGGTAACCACTGGATGATGTAGCAACATGGGCATGTCTAGAAGTCGATATATTGTTGGGTAGTACCATGGCCAAAGTTGGACGGCTTGAGCTTTGTGAGCACGACGTCCTGGTCGCGGGCGCTCAGGTGGGCCAAAAGTGGCACTTGCTGAAGCATGAGACTCAAGTGCACTTTACCGACTTGCTGGAAGTCCTTTTGGGTTAGGTACAGCAGCTCTACGCCGCCGGGGCCCACCGCGTGAACCTAATGCATTCCTCTCTCAAACCCTCCAGTACTAGACCAACATTCCATAGACAACTCAAACCACAACTTGGACAGACCAAACCTAGTTAAACGCGACGCAGTTACCCACCGACGCGGTGCGAGGGTCATCGTAGATCAATGCGAGCTCCCCAAAGTAATGGCCTGCGTACAAGTGCGTGACCATTCGTTCCTTGCCGTCGATGAGTTTGGTCACGACCGCTTCGCCCTTGGCGATCATGAAGAACCGTTCGCCGCGGTCACCTTGCTTGACGATTGTCTCGCCATCCTTGAACGTGATGGGCTTGAGCGCCTTGAGCACCTGCTCCTGCTGCGACTGGCTCAAGTTCGCGAAGAGCTGCACTTGGATCATGATGTCGTACAATGGCCGGTTCGCTAGCATGTAGGCCGTCAACGACACCTCCGTCGTCTACGAGAGGGGATGGATGGTGAGAATCATGAGGTGATCGACCCGTCGCCCGTACGTGGGACTCGACTTCGCTGATCTCGGACACGGCGTCGTCGTCTACCATCTCGACGTGGATGTCGTCGCCTTCGAGTAGCCAGTCTTCCACCACGACAGACGCATCGTCTGACAAAATGTCGTCGCTGTCGTCGCTATCGGACACCTTGTGATCCTCGACACCATCTACATCGTTCTGCTGACGCGCAGCGCCGTAGAGAGAGCTGGATGATATCGAACCCACACGAGGTCGTGTGTGCATTCGCTCGGCAGGTGACATGGAAAACGATTTTGGTAATGTGGGTGACAGATTTGTTGCGGTAGGTGGTGGCGGAGCAATGATAGCAGCAGAAGCAGCAGCAGCTGCTCGCGGTGCAGCCACAGGAGGCTCGTGGATGCTTCCCTTGCGCTTGTTCCGGCGCGCTGCTTTTTCCTCCTTGCTGGCCTTCTGCCCCATCAATCACCACGGCACTACCGACGACGAGAGGAACGGCGCAACTGAGATGGAAAGTCCTGAAAACTATGCTGATTTGATTCGCTTAAATACCATTCTTCTAGCAAATCAAGTTTCATTATTTAAGCATACTGTGATAGTATTCGTTGAAAATGCACCTATCGAAGGCGAGAATGAAAGCTAAAGATCACGACGATATATCCGACGGCCGCCATCCGTGCATGTTCATCGTGAGCTGGCGGCTCACAACGCGCGCATAGTTCTCCAGCACTTGAAGCTCACACTTTTGCACAGAATCCTTCCTTGAGATCGTGTGGAGCACAGCAATCGTGCCCAGGATATGCCGACTTTCGAGGTCGACGACTGCCGCACCAAGGTAGAAGCAGAACTTCTTGCTCCGCCTGTCGGCTTTCACAAGGGGGTTATGCATGAATCGCGGGTCTTTCGTCGCGTCCATCACCACAAGCGGTTTCGTTCCACAAATCGTGTGCGCGCAGAAGGCCATGTCCCGCGGGAGTTGGTCCGGGAACATCCTACTACCCACCGAGGTCACCATCACCTGCTTCATCTTGCCCATGATGCCCACGAACGCCACCGCGCCAGGCCATGTGTGGTAGACCATGGTGCACATATGCTGGATCATCATGTCGTGCCGGACGTCGTCGATGTTCAGTCGAGCCACCGCAGCGAGGCGGCTCATTTCATTGTCCGGCAGCGGCGGTTCAGGCCACGGGCGGTGCCACACCTTCTCCTCCGTCACCATGGCTTGATTGAGTTGTGAATGGCATGGCCGTGCAGTGCAGTTGTCGGTCGTGCGATGCAGCGCCGCACACACGAGGCACACCCGCGCCTTCTTGCCGGCGACGATCCCGACCACATTGCAGCAGCGGCTGCATACGACGTGGCGGCACGACAGGCAACAAAACTTGCGACGAAACACCAGTGTAAATCGCTTCGTACAACCTGAACAGGAAAAGTAGTCGGCCAGGGGCGGCAAGGTGGCTGGATCCACGAGGGTCAGCGGCGGCAGCGCTGTCCATGCCCTAGAAGAGCTTGGAGACGTGGGTTTATGATGGAAAAAGGTTCGAGGGCGGGCGGCGTCCGGGTCGAGCGAAGTCGCAGGGGGCGACGAGCGCCATAGGACATCTAGCATGCCGTCGCTGAAAGAGCCCTCCTCGGAATTTGGTGCCCATGAGGACCGGATGATGGACGACGCGGCTACTCGAGGCGGTGACGGCGGCAGCGTTTGATCTTGCTGCCGACCTTGTTCCAAGCGACGACGTCGAAGTAGTCTTTGAATCCACCACACTTGCAACACCACTACGCAGTGTAAATGTCGGACGTACTGGCGTCGCGCCAACATCCTCCGTACGACCGATTGGATGGTTGTCGCGGCGGCGGTGACGGCTTCTTTCTCGCGCAGCAGCCGCGTGATGACGATGTTGTGATGGCGGCGTTGGCTTTGTACCCGTCGCACATGTCGCTGACACCACACCGCCGTCTGTCGAAGCCGTTGGAAGCGCCGACGATACACGAACGACTGCATGGCGTGAGTAAGGACGCTTGCGGCCCTGAGCTCAACGCGGGCGCGACGGACTTCCAGATTCTTGTGCACCGCGGCTTGCATGAATACTTTGGTTCTGCCGACCTGAATATGTTGCCGGTGTAGCGTTCCACGGGATAGTTCACCCCCATCACGTTGAGCGTTGCTTCCCCTGTCGCTGGTTGCATCTCCATAATACGTTACCAATGCATTGATAAGGTCGTGTAAACTGTCCTCGTCACAGACCTGCTGGCGGTGCAGAAGAGGTCGATACCGGCTCTGAAACGCTGCGTGTGACAGGCGGACAGGAAAGCCCAGCTGAGCGATGCGAATGGCGTCGAGTATGCCGTGGCACCTGAGTTGGTGGCGCAGTCGATCGGTGAGGAACAACGCGGGGTCGGCGGCGTCGTTGGGCTTGAGACACCGGACGTAATGCACTTGCGCAGTGTGCAGCCGCTTCATGAGTGTCCCGAGCTGGCTTTGGAACTGACTCGCAACACTCTCGTGGCGCCGGGGCTTGTTGTGCCTCGACGGGGACGACGACTGAAACAACTGCCGGACAAAGGCGTCGGTGCTCCTCCGGCCCCGCAGCAACTCGACCACGTCGGGTGCCAACACGCCGAAGTTTTTGTCGCGAAAGCCCACAGCGGTGTACTCGACCGACCCCGCGTAGTGGTGGATTGTAAACTTGCGCTGGCTGAGCTGGCCATGAGACGCGGTGAAGCGACGGGGATGACGGGTGGCATGTTCCTTGTGCAATTTCGAAGCGAACGCTGCGTCCGACCCACGGGCAAGGACGCACTCTTCGTCTAAAAGTGCAAATAGGCCAGTGTGTTTGGCACTGAAAAGGGCGATGCAGTCTTCGTTGTCGACATATGGAGTCGTACTCAACGGACATGCCAGCCCTTCCGCGGCGTACTCTGCTGCGTCGAGCTTGAACACGTGCTGGACAAAATGCTGGTGGAGCACTTCGTTTGTGTAGTTGATGCAAAGCTGTTCAAACGAGTTTAGACCAAAATGCTCAAAGCCAAACATGTCTAGCACTGCAATCCATGACGATGGCGATGTAGCTGTTGATGGATGTGATAGGTTGAGGCGGCCGTTGATGTGTTCGACGAGCCACTCAAACAGCCGCGCGTACAGTGCCTTGGCCATGCCATCCCGCGCTTGCGCTGCTTCCACGGCTGACAGCGACAGAACTTGTACCTCGTTGGCGACCACCAGCGCGCGGGTGGTTAATGCAGCTTGCAGGTCCGGCAGCGGCACTTGTAAAAGTGCCGCCGCCGCCGCCATGGCGTGTGTCGATACCGACGAGTTGGTTTCGTCAAAGGACACGTTGCCCAGGTGAAGGACAACTGCGACAACACGGTAGACATCGGTGGCTGGAAGACCTAGCGACGTCATCGCAGTCTCTAAGGCTGTGAACATGGCGCTGTCATCATGTAGAAGGTTTTGTTTGCACGAATTGCTGCTGGAGGGATGGGGGATATATCGAAAAGTGTGAGTGGCAACACCACGGAGTTTGCTATTGCCGTGCAAGGTGGAAGAAGTTGGAGTGGGAGACGGGACAAGCTGCCACGTGGCAAGAAGCGACGAGGGGGCTCCACTGAGGAGGGCATAGAACACGTGGTAGTTGCGCTCGGCGGCGGCGGGGTTTACGATACGCACGGTCTCGAGGAGGTACGTTTGGATGGAGGCGCTGAAGAGGCGATGGCTGTCTCCACTGAAATCCAGCTGGATGAACTTGCCAAAGCGACTGGAGTTGGAGTTGCGGAGGGTCTGCGCGTTGCCAAACGCTTCAAGCACGACGTTGGCGGCGACGATGTGGCGGGTCAGCCGTTCCGACGACGTGTCTGAGGATCGACCGACGTGCACAAAATAATCCAACATGCGCTTGGTGCACTCGGTCTTGCCGCTGCCACTGTCCCCACTTATGAGGATCGTCTGGTTGGACGATGATGAATGCATTAGCTGCATCGCGCGGTAGGCATTGGCGGCGACACCGTAGATATGTGGCGCTGCATTGGGGGATTCATACTCTTGCAGCATGTCTTGTCCATAAAGATCCTCTATGCGACGGAATGGGTTCACCGCAAGGAGGACCGACCCTGCATGGGTGTACACCAGGTTCCGCCGAAACCGCGACTCAATCAATTGGACAAGTGCGGCTTCCGACAGCTCTGCGCGATCTGCCAAGTCGTGATGGTCGTCCCGGTACATCTCCACTGAGATCCAATGTTAGTATGCTGTAGCATATCTCATCATTGGTCGTGCTTGGGGTCATTACGTCCATCACTGAAATGCCGCTGCCGCCGTTTTGAAACTGACAAAACCAAACTCCAGGGTGCTGATTGGTCAGATTTTTCGGACGAGATTTTGGACCTCATGAATTGATTTCTTCATGCATGTTGCGACGTGTGATGAGCTGCGATGGCAAAATGGGTGGAAGCGTGTCTCGGTGATGCGAGGCGGTTGAGCAGGCCTCGTAGGGCAGGGGTGTGTTGAAGGGCCAATGTTCTGACATGGAGGCACGGTTGCTGTGTCGTCAGGTGGCTCATCGGCCGACTGATGTTGTTTGATAAAGCCCAACCTTCTTCATCCCACAAATGTATGCAGCTACGCAAATGCAACGTAGTAGTACAATGGATGCGGTATGGACGATGCGTTAGTTATGAACTGCATGAAGCAGCATGGTGCTCTCGACTTCAGACTACATTGATTGCCATCACACGTTATATTTACACCACCAATTTGTCTGCGTTTGTCAGACATCGCCGCAGTTTCTTCTTGTTTCGACGCGACCGTTCGAGCAGATCTTTTCGCTTGGGGATGGATCGCAGCTCGCGTACGGTGCTGAGGAATTCAAAGATGCTGCGGCTGAGCACATAGTTCGATCGTTGGTCGCCGTGGAGGTTTACATGCAGCGAGTCTTCCATTGCCGTGTGGTCCACCTTCCTACTCATTCATCGTCGTCAGATGTTCACTAGGTAGTCCAAAGTAACATACAACACTTGGAGCAGCACCATCATGCCTTCCAGCTCCACTTTGAGGAACGGCATCCGTTGCACCAGGACCGCCGCGAGGAAGAGCGCGAACTGCGCCAAGGAATCCAGTGGCGGATGGGAATCTGTGGGCCACCACGGATGCGTCGGGAGGGGCGGCGTCGACGACGCCTTTTCGTCAAGCACGGCGTAATCTGCGCGCTCGCGGCGGTACTTTTGGATCAGGACAAACAAAAACGTCGGAAATGGCGCTTTGGCTTTGGCGTCGAATTCTGGGCATTGTAATAATAAAATTGACTCATACAAATACAAAGATATATTTAAAGAACTTGTATAATAATATGCAATTTTCTCACCGGAATCGTCCGAGTCGTCAAGTGGGACTTCCATCAGTCCCCGCGCCACGACCGAATATGCACGAATGTCCACGACGAGGTCCTTCAGTCGATGGAAGAGCGATATGTACGTGTTGCACAGCACATGGAAGGCTAGCGCAGCATTGTGGACCTCCACGTCCCCGTCAGAAGCGGGTGGAGTTGAGATGGACGCGGTTGGCTTGTACCGACACACCGCCGGGGACAACGACTTGAAGGCCGTGTCCACGGCGTCAAATACGCCAGTCAGTTCCGCAAGCAAAAGGCTCAGTGATTGGATTTGTAGACTCGTGAATCGTTTGCCTTTACGTGCAAGGCACACGGACATGACCTAGGGGTGTTAGCGGTGAGGTCACTTGTCATCAAATTGAACGTACGTCGTTGAGCTTGTGCATGGACAGACGTTCCATGCTTCCTGGTAGGTTATAATTGAGCTGCTCTTCAATCGTCGGCTTGTGGTAGCGAAGGGCATCGAGCAGTCGCATCTTGGCAGTCGCCGGCTTGTATTCCATCGCGGTGTCGTCGAGGTTCTACACACCCAATAACATCAGTTGTGAACCGCCATCGACGTCAACCTCAAAGAGACTCCACTGCTTGGCTTTCCGTAGACCTCCAATGCCTAGACCGAATGCGGATGGGGGTGGTTTATCTTCATTAGCGGCAAGGGCCGCTGGTCGCAATGGGCATGGCGGAGGCGGCGGCGGCGGCGGAGTGTCCATGTGACACAAAGATATGGTTTAAGTCCTCTCAGCAAAGTACGAAAGTGTGTGCACAGCTGTAGGACTTAAGAGGACACACTAACTGTCGGACTTAACACACCGAAGGAGATGATGTCGTGGGATTGTTAATCACGCGTTGTTGGCAGGAAGTTCAAAGAACCGTGCCTTGTGGTCGAGCCACCACTTCTGTGCATCGTCCTCGGAGATCTTGTCCTTGTCGAAGATGACAGCAACGACCTGTTCTTCGTGGTTGTCTTCGCGTCGGCCCATCTGCAGCGCGACGCCTTCGCGGCCCGCGGCCTTGTCCGTCTTGCGATACATGGAATTCAGTTCAAACAGCGCCGCATCTTGGAGCACAAGTCGCGCTTTGGTTTCCATGCCGGAGAAATCGATCTTGTAGTCGCCAGCAGCACCAGGAAGCAGCGGCGTTTCGTCGTCGTCGTCGGCGGCGTCATCGTTGTCGTCGTCTTCCTTGGGCTCTTCGCCCGGCTCGGCGTTGTCATCATCGTCGTCAACGTCGTTGTCACCACCGTCCAACGTCATGGCTTTTGAAGCCTTCAATTCCGACCGGATGCCATTCAGCAGGTGCGACGTCACTTCCAGCTTCGTGTCCACGCCTTTGCCCACCGACTTCTTCTTTTTCAGCACAGCTTTAGGGGGTTTAGGTTGTTTGGGTTTGTCCACAAGGCTTCGCGACACGGGACGCTTTTCTGCATTGTCCGATGTGTTCGTACTTCCTTGGGGTGGCGGGCGCGACTCCTTGAAGGACACGCTCTTCGCGGCAGCGTCCAGCTTCTTCTCGTTGAACGAGTTCTGTTTTACCACCGACGCGGGCTTTGGCCCCTTGTCTTCGGGCTTGTCGGACATCGTTTGCCGTCGGTTGAGTAGGTTTGGCTTGAACGTGAGCTCCTTTTCTTTCTCTTCACGTTGTCGCTTCTCTTCTGCGTCTACCTTTTCTTGCTTCTTCCGCAGCCACTCAGCTTGTCGCTCCATCATCCCCATGCTTGAAAAGGTCTTCTCCTTGGAAATCGAGGGTGGTTTGTTCACGCCGCCGCGCTGGGAGCCGTCCCCACGACTACTCGTAGCCCCTCCGCCATCATCTGCGTCGCCGTCAGGCAGCTGAAGCGACGGCACAACCCCTTCCCCTTTAGTTGGTAGCACCACAAGTTCCTTGCCCGGCCGGAGTTTGCCTCGACTTGGACTGACGTTTTCAGCTGGTTCTGGCAAGTCGTCCAATATAAGTTTCACCACAGGCACTTCGCGAAGCTCCACCACTATTCCCAAACTGACGACCGTTCTATCCATACTATATTGGACAAGACACGTACACATGTGGTTCCAGCATCGATCGCGTGTTGTGGGATACAAATCGCCTCGACGGATTTGTCGATGGATGAGCTACATAAAAAGTGTGTTGGTGTGGAGTGCATTGCGATGGAGGGGATCTGATGACCGAGGTAGATAGTATGATAAGAAGCACGTACGTCTTCGGTGCCGTCATCAGGGATGTTTTCCAAGCTGTTTTGAAGAAGAAGCCATTCTTTTACAAACAATGTGCGTTCTTGCCACGCGCTTGGGCTCGGCACAGTTGTTTCCCGCATGTATTGCAACTACAAGCCAGAGTCATGATGGCGATGGTCGTGGTTTTAAATCGTTACCAGTTGCAGCATCATCGCGGTGCCATTCCCATCGTCGGCTGCTGCTGCCATGATGTCAAGGCGTTGTGAGGAACTGACAAGACAACAAGGTTTATTTTGGGCGATCGAGATGTAACGGTTGACGAAAGCGAAGCCGGTTACATTCACTAGACAGACAGCCCACAGGACATGTAGTTCTCTACAGGATTTAGCATTGCCTCAATATCCAACGATGTCTTTTGAGGAAGTATCGCCCCGGCGCGGGAAATGGTCGTTGTGTTTGACGTTGAAGTGGTAGATAGGTGACCTTTCGAAAAATAGATCGTTGTTTATCCGGGCATGTATCCGGATGTTCTACCAAATGTTGACCTTCGACATTTTTTGAATTCCCACGATGGACACAACCGACGCGCCGCAAGTGATCGAGCACATCACGAAGAGCGTCAATTACACGCCGTACGACGCTCGATGGATCCCATGCTCAGCTAGATTCGTGTCTATGGGCATCCATCCTCGGGCCACGGGTGCGATCAACGTGTTCGCGCTGCAACAAGGCGAACTGAAGGTCGTCCATGAATTGGAAAAACAACATGGCGTCAAGTGCGGCACGTTTGGCGCGTCATCGTTAGATGCACGTCACTTGGCCGTTGGAGACTACGCTGGCATCATGAGCATATATGACTTTGAGAAGCCTGAAATCCCAGTCTACTCGGCGCAAGCCCACAAGTCGATCATCAACTGCATTGACGGCTGCGGCGGGCTCAATATCGGGTATGGCGCCCCGGAACTTGCGACGGGTGGTCGTGATGGTGAGTTATGTTACTTGCTACAAATACCTCGTTCTCAATGAACAATCAAAGTACTAAAAATTGACCGGTGCCGCCGCTTAGGGTGTGTGCGTGTGTGGGACACGCGGGTGGCAAACCCTGTTGTGTCGTTGGAACCTGACCAAGGGGAAGCGGTGCGGGACTGCTGGACCGTTGCCTTCGGTACTACTTCGTCGTCCAGCACCGATCGCTCTCTTGTCTGAACCGTCGTTCTCCAGGGAACTCGTTCAACGACGACGAGCGCTGCCTTGCCGCCGGGTACGACAACGGCGACGTCAAGCTGTTTGACCTTCGAACCAACACGATGCGATGGGAAACGAACGTCCAGAATGGCGTCGTGGGCGTCCAGTTCGACCGCAAGGACATTGAAATGAACAAGTTGCTCGTCACGACCCTCGAATCCAAGTTCCGCATGTACGACATGCGCACGTTCCATCCCGCCAAGGGATATGCATTTATGAGCGAAAAGGTACCATACATTCACCCTCTCTCGATTCTCATTGACGTGTTCTAGGCGCACAAGTCGACGGTGTGGCAAGGCCGTTTCTTACCTCAGAACCGCGACCTCTTCATGACCGGCGGGGGCAATGGCGGCTTCAACCTCTACAAATAGTACGACATCGTCTAGTGTGTTGCTATTTTACGACGGTGGTTGGTTGTGATGTAGCCATTACCCATCGTCGCGCACCACGCCAGACGCCGACGGCATTCACATGGGCGTCGGCGGCACCGTGGAACTTCTCAACTCCCGCGTGCTGTCGACGCAGCCCATCGTGAGCATGGACTGGAGGTAGCTAGCTACGCACCCGAGTTCGCCTCTCATGCCATGTATCGTCCTTGTAGCCCCGACCGTGAAGGCCTCTGTGTCCTATCGTGCCTCGACCAAACTGTGCGGGTGTACATTGTGTCCAAGACTAACAAATATTAATACCCGCAGAAGTCCAAATTGTATCGAAAGAGTAAATATAATGGGATAAACCGATCATTACAGTAACCTCATATTGTCCTGTTAATACCCAAAATTTGGATTTTGTGCAGGCCTTTCAACCTGGAGATTGTAGCTTGCGCGGCTTGTTGCAACGCCATGGTAATATATATCACCGTGATGTATACACACAACCATTCAAACTATTAGCTGGTATATATATATATATATATATATATATATGTCCAAATGTAAACGGCGCAACATTTTGCGGAGACTGAACGGTGGTAAGAGCCCCAAAGGTGGTCATTGTCCCATTGGCTGACACTGTGAAGCACGACTGTGACAAAGGGGCACATCCGATTGTGAAAAAAAAAACGATTGTGATACGTTTGATATATTGAAACTGCAATCAGCGAGTTATATTCACTTTCGTGGCCAATAAATACTCTGTCGATCTTGAAAGGTCACGGGGGAGATTGACTGCTATTCATAGTTTGACCTTTTGACGGAACATTTTACGATATTCCAGCACGCCATTATGGACCAGCCGACTACGCCGCGCGCCGCCGTGAGCGCGGTTGGAACGCAAGCCCCAATGTCTTGTCGAAGCGGGTGCTTCTGACGTACGACCAACGCGATCGTCGTGCCGCCTACTGGGCTATGAAGAAGGCCGATGCGCGCCATCTCGCGCCGCAGCAGCTCGTTTGCCCACCTCGACTTGAAGGTGCAAGAAGCCTAAATGGAACAGCAGCGTTAACCTTCACTCGAAGCGGCTAGCCAGACATTGGAACGCAGCAGGGCATTAACGACTGGCGGCCGAGCAGCAAGAAGCCCACGCCGCCCGACTCGGACGCCTCGTGCCATTGCTCATCGAGCACCTCGTCCATGGAACGCAACTACAAAACGTGTGGTGACCGTTCCCTGACCAGCACCCACGGAGCGCCACGTGGTCGTTCACGGGCGCGAAACCCGCGTTGCGCGTCTGGCCCGTCTCGTGATTTTGCCATTGGACCACAAGCTGGCATGGAACGCTAGCACCCACGTCACCTCGAAACGTGTCGTGGCGGTCTGTCCACCAGCACTCATGGATGGTCCCATGGCTTTCAGAAGCGTCCACGCAGTTCTCCGTGTTGGCGCTCTGTGCACGTACGCACCGAACCCAAGTTCCACTACCAATTTCAAGGCCTTCCTCGTGTACTGGACGTCGGGCAAAGTCGTGCCGTCGGTCGATTCGGCGCAAGGGAGTCAGCCCAGCCCATGTTCAAATGATGATTAATCTCCTTTCGTGTAACAATCTGATCCACGGTGGCATCTGAGTTATGCTGTGCACGTTCTCCGAGTACATTGAGACGAGAGACATTTCCATTCTGTGATGTTTATTTTGTCAACAGCCCTGCTGGCCCGACACTGGTCGCAGTGAGCAACGGGTTGAACCCAAGGGTTCGGATGTCTTCGTCTGGCAGGCCAAAGTCGCGCATTTTGCTCTCGTACGTCCGCAGGGCGTCGTTGTAAGCCTTGCTGGCCTTGGCCACTTGGTATTGAAGGTCGCGGATCTTGGTATTCTTGGTCGTGAGCAGCGTGTCGAGCTTCTCGGTCACCCGCGCCACCTCGCCGCCTTCGAGGTGTGCCGCCATGAGTATCTAGACAGACATCGTCATGACACCCCATGCGCGATTGCCTTCCAGGGTACCTCGTCCAGCTGCGCCTGCTTCTTGTTGTGCTGTTCGCCATAGGCACTCAATCGCTGCTCCAGCACCAAGTTCTTGTACTCACATTTGGTTTGGACACTGTGAATCGTGTGTTCGAACGAGTCGTACAGCGCGTTCCTATTTGCTTCCATCGTCTTGTACGCCTGCGTGAGACTCTGGTGCTTCTTTCGAAGATCCACCAGTTGCTTCTCCAGCAGAACCAGCCGTGCATTCGCATTGCGCAGACTCAGTCGGTCCTTCTGCTCGTCCTTGAGCCCGTGCTTGAGCCGCTCGACTTCCTGCACTGCCGCCGCCAGCGGCTCACTCAGTCGCTTGTTCTCGTGCGAGATGTCGTGCATGAGTTTCGCGTTCGCCGCCGCCTTCTTCTTCATGTCGCTGATCTCCCGCTTCAACGAATCGATGAGCCGCAAGTTGTCCTTTGTGATGTCGTTGTAGTAGTTTTTCATCTGGGTGAACGCCCGCTCGTGGTTTTTCATCAGGTCGTTGATGTGCAAGTTCTTGCGCTCTTCGATTTCGTGGATGTCCACCTTGCGCCGCAACTCCAAGTCCTCTTGGAGCTGCTCCAGTCGGCACTGCAGTCGCTCTTCGAGGGCGGCGTTGTTCTTCTCGAACTGCTCGCGCAACTTGAGCAAGTTCTTCTCGTGAGATTGCTTCATCTGCTCGATCTCGTCCTCGTTGCTCAGTTCGCGCTCCTTTAACTCGAGCTTCAAACTCTGTTTTGCCCCCTTGAGTTTGTGTTCCCGGTGCACATGCATGTCGCCTTCCTCGTCGATGTGCGACAGGCCGTCCGTCTTGACGCGCTTCAAGTTGTTCTTGTGCTCGTACTCCAAATGTTTCACCTTTTGAATGTACACCTACCAAGAATATGGGCACTTGTGACGTGGACGCTCATAGTACCCGCACTTCCACGCGGTGGTTGTCCTCCATCATCTCCATTTCGCGGTCCTTGCCCATGATTTCCATGTCGTGGGTTTCCACTTCACGGCGACTGATGTCGTAGAACGATTGAATGGTGTCCTAACATGCATTGATTAGTGCTTTAGGTAGTATGTCGGCAGACACACCCGCTCGTGTTGGACGTAATTCCGATCAATTTGAGATTTGTCGAGCTGTTGCCGCAGCATTTGAGTGACTTCTTTCAGCATTTCAACGTCCATAGTGTCGTATTCTACATTTGATCATGAGTGATGAATTGGATGCCGACAGTGACGTACCGGACGGCTCTTCCGGAGGCGGCGCCTCCTCCTACTCCGCAACCCCATAGCGTATCATGGGAACGGATGTACATGCACGCGAGGTGGACATACGCGCTCATACCTTTTTGCCTTTCTTTCCCTTCTTGCCCTTCTTCGCCATTGTGCTTGTTGAGGAAGGGACTCCCGCCGCCGCGACTGCCTGCTGAAAACTGACACGGCCGTTTCAGAATCACAAACCCGTCAAAATGGATATCTTTGGTTCGTTTTGATTGGCCAAACCAACCTGTCGCAATTCATACGATGTTTTCAATGGACTTCCGCACAATTCACCCAGCATGCGCCGCTTCTTCTCCTCCACCGTCAACGCGAACGAAGTGAGCAAGTTCACCCGCGCCGCCAAGTACAATCGACCCATATGCATATACGCATGCTATCGTTCACATCCTCATCGAACTCGTGCATGTAGTGACTGGTGGAAGCCGGCTAGCAACACGGGCGTGGGTTTGTTGCATCAACTCAACCCCACGCGTGTGAGTTACATTCGCAGCCATGTCATCGAACACTTTGGAAAAGACCCCCACCGCGATGCTGCGTGGCCCTTGAAAGGTCTTCGTACGCTTGATGTGGGCTGTGGTGGTGGCATTTTGTCCGAGTCGCTGGCTCGCTTGGGTGGAGATGTGACGGGTGTCGATCCCGGCCAAGCCAACATCGATGCGGCCTCCGCCCACGCCGAGCAAGACGACGAAACGGAGAACATTCGGTACATTTGCACGACCGCAGATGCCCTAGTGGCACAGAACGAGACCTTTGACGTCGTGTGCGCGTTGGAGGTGGTGGAGCATGTGGACGACGTGCCAGCGTTTATCCAGTCGTTGACGCAACTGGTCAAGGTATCTACCTACCTACTTCCCATTATCATAATTCCTTCGTGTTTCTCAGAGTATAAGTAGCCTGATGGCATTTTGTTCATGTCGACAATCAATCGTACGGCACTGGCGTACTTGACGACGATTGTCGCGGTGGAGCAAGTTCTGCAACTCGTGCCCCAAGGTACTTTGTATTAGGTACTTGGTGTAGGTACTGAATTCCTTTGTGCATTAGGTACTCATGAATGGGGCAAATACATTCAGCCTCACGAACTCACGGCTTGGATTCAAGAGGTACGTACGATTTGAAGTTGTAGAAAAGTGCAAACTGACGTTTACTCTACCCCCCCTATCATAGCATGGACTGCAAGTGTCGAATGTGTCTGGCATTGTGGGCGATCCGTATGTCCAAGGGTGGAAACTGCATCCCACTTGCACCGAGATCAACTACATTCTAGCCGCGTCGTCGCGAAAACGCCGCTAATAAGTCGACCGTAACAACAAAATTGTATATATTGTGTTTTCGAGTGAAATGTCGTTGGAATTTAAATCGAATTGATTGGCTACCTCAGATGAGCTCAAAATTATTAGCCAATCAAAACCTTCTCAACTAAATTCAACCAATCAGATCGATTGTGGATCGGTTTGGTCGGCGCGATTCAATTGCAAATTTGTATCAAATGGACAATAACGTTAGCAAAATAATATGGACCGAGCGTGGATATCGTGCTCTACAGAGTAGCTCACGCCGCATCGTTGACGAGCAAATAGCTCGAGTCGTCGGTGGGCAGCCTTCTATCTTCAATAGCGATGTAGTGGCCATTAGCGGCGGCGGACGACACCTTGGTTGGCACGCGGACTTTGCTCCACATGGCACTGAGTGAAGCTTTGATCGAAGCGTGGCGGCGAGAGATCTTGGACGCTTCCATGATGTTTCGGTGAAGGCAGTTGGATGCAAATTGCACAATGATGTCCAGTCAGTTTTGTGAATACGATGCCAAGTTGTTCTACCCTTCGAGGGTGGAATTTGACGAGTTTCTAAACTTCTACAGATAGATAGATACACGACGACGACGATCTAAAAATACACCCAATCCGCAGCCACCTACCTAGCTATACTGATTTATTAACATGAAGCTAGAGGCAACCATAAGGACAAGTTAAGTCTATAGCGTTAGCATGCTATTGTCATTTGTTACTAGAGTATGTATATATATATAGTGCATATTGAGAGACTTATGATCAAGTACTCGTGGAACTAATTGGAGGTTCGTGGTGCAACTCGGCTGCTTGGTAGCATTGGTCGAGAGCATCCAACTTGTGGTCGCTGTCGGCCATGGCTTTGCGCATGCGATGGTAGAGGACATGGCGCCCCCGCGCACTGGCGGGCCAGTTGGATGGGTCTGCCAACACTTGCAGCTCTTTGTATTGTGATGCATATGCATCTATACATCGAATGTCATTCACGCGATGTCAAACAAGATGCCAAAAGTCGTACTGTTGGCAGCGAACGCTATCGACACGGGGCCATCTTCTGCACACAATCTATGGTACCAGAATAATATAGTGTAAACACAAAATATGAACAATACTGTGTAGCCCTTCAAGCTGTTTTGTGTGGGCATGGGGGGATACCTGATCAAGTCGAACGTCTGACCCGACACAAACACACAGGGGATGGCCAAAGTGGAGTCTGCTGCACCTGTTATGGGAATGTTGACGCTGGTCACGACGGCCAGCGGCACGTTGGCATTTTCGACGCTCCACAGCACCCCCTTTGCCCCCCCCTCGACGAGTTTCGCCATCTACACCCATCACCCGTTGAAAACGAAATATCCCATCCTTAGAAGGGTCTACTTGGAGGTCAATGGGGCAGGAAGGATGCGCTTTAGCCAAGACAAAGAACCCTTGCACCCACACCAATGACGTGGTCAGCAGGCACAGGTTGCCTGTCACAATCACGAGCGGGTGCTGGGCCAAGTCCAACGCAGCGCTCGCGGCGGGTTTCACAAACTACGTAGCAGTGTCGACATTCGTTTTCAGTTTCAATACATCGAAATAGGAGGGTTGGGGCCACCTCGGCGGTGCGCGGCCCATCCTGCGTCACAATCGTCAGGTCCCCGGACGTCGCTTCCACGAGCAGCGCGTGCTTTTCGGACATGGTCATGGCGACCACCGTGGGGTCGCGGAACCGATCGGCGCACGTGTCGGAGACCACGACTTGAATAGCCGCGGGGGCAGTCGCCGTCGCGCTCGCGGCCAACTCGGCCAAGTAGAGCCCTGGGCGTTCACAAGGAATGAAGCCCTTCAGCAGGAAGGATCTACTACATCGAGCCAAGAAAGCTGGCCCTTCGCACCTGCTTCTTGCGACACCATCACCACGGGCGTGCGAATCGTGCCAATCCATCCCCGCGGACTCAGGATACTTTCGATCTTTCTGCCGTCGTGTTGAGCCAAAACCACGCCAAACCCTCCACGGCGACCCACGACCAACGCTTGTTGATGCGGTGAACACTGCCGAGAGCTCTAGTTAAAATGTTAGGTGTCGGCTCACCACTTGTTGTGAACGACCTGCACAAGCACAAATCGACCTGTGACGTTGTTGTTCAGTGGAACGCATGCGTGTGCAGGGTCTGCCAGCACAATAGGATACAACTCGCAAGCAATCACGTCTCCGAATTCAGAAGCGAGCGCGTACATCCGAGTGGATTGCTGGTCTCCTTGCGACGCAACCTGAACATGGCTGAATGCCAGCCTCAATAGTAAGCTCGTACCACGAAATTGATACTCTCCATGTCGTGATTCGCCCCGGCAGACTCGAGGGGAATGCAACGGGTCGAGTTGTGCGCTCGGAATGTCAACTTTTTCGGAACGTCTGCCTCCCGAATCCAATCCACCACTAGGGACAGCGCCGTGCCGTCCGTCAACAGATCGTTCACCCCCACAAGGACGTCCCCAACCTACAAACGTATCCCGCACGTTGAAAGTATGCACACAACCACCTCAACTGTCTACCTCCACGAGGCCACTCGCTTCAATCACACGGTCACGGCCATTCTCGTCCTGGACAAAGGACAACACATGCAGCTTGTCGCTGAGCAGCATGCCAAGTGGGTCCGTTGTGTTGACCACGACAACATACTCCAGTGCGATGCCACCCCCACACTGTTGCATCCCACCTGCCGCCACAACAGCCGCGGCCATCCCCACAAACGCAAACGGCACGACTCGCCACCACCCGTGTCGTCGCATCACGCCAAATACGAAACCGTCGTCCCTGTGGGTGGGAACGCATTTTGGGTTTAAAGTACGACGGTACGGCTGTACTTGGAAGAGCCCATATGTGATGTACTTATTCGAAGTACTACGTATGTACTGTAGTAAGCTTGCAACGCATGGCGACGCAGCGTCGACGTGGATTGTAAATTCAAATGTTTAACTTTTGGGAGACGTCTAATGGCACTGTTACGAGTAAAACTATCTTTATTTCATCGCACTTTTGTCGTGTTTTATGATTGGCTAGCGATAGTTTTGTCGTGTTTACAGTTACTCCATCGCGTTTTGAGGTTTTCAGCGCACACGGATTGGACAAACCTATCCAATCACAGTGGCATATGCTTACATACTAATTTTCATATAAACTCCGATGTGCTTGTACGTCAGCGAAATTTGCCGGCAGCGGTGGCGGCCTGCCCTTGGTCCAAGCACAAGGCGCTAGACCATACGAGTTGTAGGAACATGCTGATTGACCATATATATGCCTAGCTATAGGTTTGAAGTCTCAGCCATGATGCTCGACTGCGTTCATCTCCTCGTACATGAACGCAGTCGAACCGTACCATGCCGCGAGCAAGACATGGCACGACTCACTGTTACCATAGGATTATATAGCCTATATAGTCGACATAGCAGCATTGGGACACGCAACATTTCCGCCGAACACAGGTTGCGGCAGTACTGGTACAAATCCACACCGGACTCACGCGCAATTTCATCCTCCACAATCTGTATGGCCTAAAGTATGAAGTTTAAGACTGAATATTATCATATCCAATCACATGGCATGACCTGCCATTTAAGCTATATAATTGGTAGATAATGAAAGAGTTCAGGACTTAGATGTGGTTCAGAAAATCGATGCTTGTATCCGTACGTATCCGTACACAGATACCAGTACACTTTAGCCTACTGTACTACGTAGTAGAAATAAAACGCACAAAGTTCAGGTTTAACGTGGTGATATTTTAGGTTTAACCCACAATGCAAAAACGTTTTATACAGAAGTACCTCCTATTAATAGATCTGAATTGGCGAGTTGAAAGGTTAACGTTATAGTTGACATGCACAGTATTATTAAAAAAAGGAATTTAAATTAATAATACACCATTTCCAGCCCAAACGGTTTGGGGTTTCAAAGCATTAATTGGGGGTTTGGGTACACTACAATTAATAATGTACTTCAGTAGTATTTGGATACGGCACTCCCTAGTACAGTAGTAGTAGCCATCAGTCCCATAGCTGTAACGTTACAGTACAGGCATAAGTACCAAAAGATCGCAACATACCCAATTAATCCTAACGTTTACACGTTATTAATACTGTACTGTACAGTATATTATTGTATTGTGATCGGAATTGGTAGGAACCGTTCTCGGCGAAATACATTTTGACGAATTATAATCATGCTGCCCATGGCCTCCGCGCGTCCATCGTGGGTGCGTTCCTTGAGGTAAATCGAAAAATGAGCTCTGCGCGCGACAGATTCAAAATTTTTTGGAGGGAGTTGAAGTATGGACAAAACGTTGAAGAATAGGGGCAACAGTATACTTTGTTCAAGTAAAAATATCGACTTCAATGTTCTGTACGTCGAAGTATTCACGCAACATTTCCGCCGAACACAGGTTGCGGCAGTACTGGTACAAATCCACACCGGACTCACGCGCAATTTCATCCTCCACAATCTGTATGGCCTAAAGTATGAAGTTTAAGACTGAATATTATCATATCCAATCACATGGCATGACCTGCCATTTAAGCTATATAATTGGTAGATAATGAAAGAGTTCAGGACTTAGATGTGGTTCAGAAAATCATCCACATATCCGTACGTATCCGTACACAGATACCAGTACACTTTAGCCTACTGTACTACGTAGTAGAAATAAAACGCACAAAGTTCAGGTTTAACGTGGTGATATTTTAGGTTTAACCCACAATGCAAAAACGTTTTATACAGAAGTACCTCCTATTAATAGATCTGAATTGGCGAGTTGAAAGGTTAACGTTATAGTTGACATGCACAGTATTATTAAAAAAAGGAATTTAAATTAATAATACACCATTTCCAGCCCAAACGGTTTGGGGTTTCAAAGCATTAATTGGGGGTTTGGGTACACTACAATTAATAATGTACTTCAGTAGTATTTGGATACGGCACTCCCTAGTACAGTAGTAGTAGCCATCAGTCCCATAGCTGTAACGTTACAGTACAGGCATACTAGTAAGTATTCACTGGAATATAATATACTGTTATTAATATATCGACTTCAATGGATTGACTTGAATAAAGTATACGGTTTTGGTGGAAACATCATGTGGTTGAAGTTCGGAGGAAAACGCGCGAAGGCAAGATCATTCGAAATTTATACTTGAATAAAGTATATTTTACAACAACGTTTCGTCCATACTTCAACTCCCTCCAAAATTTGAATCTGTCGCGCGCAGAGCTCATTTTTCGATTTACCTCAAGGAACGCACCCACGATGGATGCGCGGAGGCCATGGGCAGCATGGGCGTTGGTACAAGCCACAGCAACGATGCGGCATGTGTCGTTTGACGACCATTTCTATATTGAATTGACTTTTTATTGCGTGATTTCCATTTTCATCGGGCGCACGACACAATTCATCGGGCACATGGGCAATTGCTTGGGCACACGGCCAATTATATCGGGCACACCGCCAAATGTATCGGGCACACGACATCCGGGTGCCAAATTTAACGGGCGCATGGCCAATTATATCGGGCACACCGCCAAATATATCGGGCACACGACCAAATATACCGGGCATTCGTCCAACTTAACTGCAAAAAGGTGTAATACAAAAACAATCCACTAGGCACACATACACGGCGAGTTTTCAAGGAATGGGTGCGCGGCGGCTTCAACGGCGGTCATACGCGTCACGGGGTCCCGCACCAGCACCTTTTTCAAAAAGTCAATGCACGTAGGGGACACGCGCTTGAAGTCTCGTGCGCAATAGGTTGCGTCTTCTTCGGTGCAGTTGTTGTACGGGTAGAATGGCGAGTACGCGACTAAGGCTTGGTACGCCACAAGACCGACGGACCACATGTCTGCGGCGGGGGACAGCGGTTCCTTGCACAGGAGCTCCGGGGCCATGAAGCCAAAACTCCCGGACATGCCGTCTGTGGGGAGGGGGAGGCCAGGATGCATGCGCACGGCATTTCCAAAGTCGCACAGCTTGGCGACGGGTGTGCACACATGGGCCCCCGCCCGATCCAGAAGGATATTCCCGGGCTTGATGTCCCCGTGGATGACGTTAGCGATCGTGTGAAGGTACACGAGGGCGGCGACGATGTCCCGCACGACGCAGCGGACGATGGCTTCGGGCAGGGGGCGCTTGGGGCCCCGGGGGGCGAAGGGAGTGGTCAGGCCTTGGTCCGCCACGTACGCATGCATCCAGTCGTCGAGGGTGCCGCCATCGACGCGGTCCAAGACGAGGATGTAATGCGACCGCGAGCTAAACGCGGCGTGGAGGTTGACAATGTTGTCGTGGTGCAACCCGTGCAGCACCGCAATCTCTTCGAGCGCCTTGACGTTTTCAATGTCCGACTTGAGCCCGGTCTTCAGCACATGCTTGATGGCCACGGGGGTGTTGGTGGTCTTCTCGCGACCCAAATACACAGTCGCGTACGTGCCTTTGCCGAGGACGAGCTCGGACATGTCGAACCGGCGATCGAAATCCGTGTCGAAGAAGTTTGGACCCTTGGAGATGCAGCTAAACGATTTGCGGAAGCGGGGACGATGGAGGGTCAGGTGCGCAGGGAGAAACATGTCGATGAACCGATCACATTTGGGGCAGTTGGGATGACTCCCCAACCATCGCACAATGCACGATCCGTGGAAGTAATGGCCACATCCCGCGATCAAACACGTGGCGCCGAGCGAATGACACAGACTGCACGTGTACGGAAGCATCCACCCGTGTGTCGCCTTGGCAATTCCGACGCTCGAGCGCAGAAGCTTCTGCTTGGCGGTCACGTGTCGGCAGCGAAGCTTGTCTGAGTCAGGCGGCGGCGATTGTGGGTGGCAGCAGTAGGACTCGAGGATTCGTTGCTTCCGATAGTCCGCCCATTGTTTGGCTTCAACAAGGATGGGGTCGTGGTCGATAACTCGGTTGAGGTCGGAGTCCGAGTGGACGCGGTGGAGAGACGAAGGAGCGGCGGCGAGAGTGGGAGAGGCAGGTTTCATCATCGGATTTTTGGAAATGTTTCGATGCAAAACAACCATAACAGTAGTTGTGTTGTCTCAAGTTACCTTCAACCACGTTTTTCTGACGCTTGGCTCACAATATGCAATAATATCACACCAAGAATGATACTAGCATCACTGCATTCTAATTTCGAATGCCCATTTCTATTTTATTTACTGTAAAATATTATGAGTGGTTGACAAAAATACTTTGAAGGTTATTTTGAACGATTTATTCCACTCAAATTGACAAAAAAACAATAAACGCGTCTGACATATAGTCCTCACCATTGTCATGTCCACTTGTGAATTCACGAATATACTCATATTCCATCCAATCATACGACGCCAAAGTGTAAACTTCATCTGATAAATTGGATCTACGAGCCAAGCTCAAAATAACAACCAAGGTTCATCAATACTGTAGGTGGATCCGAGGTCCGACATAGAGACGATGCTGCTTTGGTTGCACTTGCACTTGATGGCATTGCGCAATGAACTTGCGGCTTCTGCCCAGTAGATTGCTAGGACAGGCGACGCAAGCACCGGACGCTCGTGACGCAGTGTGCCCGTACTTTAGCAACTTGCTCGAGGAACTTTGCGAGCGAATTTTACGTCATGACCTTCACAAAGACCCAAAATGAATGGAGGCCGGCAGTCCTATTACACTTCCACTGTGGTCTCATTGCCCCAGGCTCCCGTGCAATGTGAGAACGTTCGCCCGGTGTTGAGTCAGCATTGAAGTACCGGTATCGATCAATCGAGAGGAGGATGATGACAACAGTAGCACCAGGTACTACCCAACGAGCATAAACAAGCCTGACGTTGCTGGTGTCCGCACTACAAAGGCGGATTATGGGTTTGGCATTTTTGAGACTTTGTGTGGAGGTCGCTATATATAGCGTTCGTGGCGACCTTGATCGTGTGCCATGGGATGTGGCCAAAGCGCGCTGAAGAAGGAGATCCAAGGGCTCCATGCACTTGAGACGAAGCGGGCGGAGGAAATCGCCAAGCTTGAAGACGAGCGACGCATGCTCAAATACAAGATGTCAGTCTTGGAGGACATGGTAATGCCACGCAAAACGCATTCGTTCAGGCCCCCTTGTGTAGGTTGCCACGGCCCAGCTCGAAGTCCACGAGAAGGTTGCCGCCGCCGCCGCTGCGGAAGAGCGCATGAAAGTGATGAAGTGGGAACTGGTGCGACAAGCCACGCCCCCTACCACCCCTCGGCAAAGTTTGACGTGGGCGTTGAACGACAAAACAACGCAGAAACTTGCAAAGATGTCGTCGGCACGCGTTGTGTCGACGATCCCCCCGTCGAAGGAAGCTACACAAAGTGACACGAAATTGCTAGCCACTCGAGCCAAAGCCAACGTCGATACTCCATCCCCTCACTCAGATCCCAAGGTCACAATTACTGCTACTACGGCCATTGCAAACCACCCCAAGACTCTTGTGGCCAGCCCTATCGTAATCAAGCCATCGACCAGCACAGGTCAAAACGAGTCAACAACGGTAGCCGTCGTCACGAAGAAGCCCGAGCTGATTCGGCTCAACACCCCTCGGAAGGTCATCGATCCATCCGAGGTCAACGAGAGCAAAGACGCGTTCGAGGCAGTGAAAGCCATCACGACATCGTCGTCTCGACGGACCAAAGACAGCAACGCCATCGAACGTGACAACTCCAACATTGGCACGCGTCGGCACTCGTCCAAGTCGATGATTCGCGGCCCCTCGACGGCCTTATCGCCCCCTTCGGCGTTGCTCCTCCACCAAGACTCACATGACGAAAGGGCGTTGTCGAAACCACTGACCAAGCCAAAATCCGCCGCCATCCAAGCCCCCCTCACGTCAGCTGCATCCTCCAAGCCCACCCTATCTCCGAAATCGTCACGCTCCAGCATCATTAATCCGTCCTCGCGCGAGACGTCCCCAACAGCCGCCGCCTCCAAAGCCCCCCCTGGCTTTGTGCTGGCCATGCCACTGTCCAAAGGAGGCCCGGACGACCTCCCCCATCGAAAGCACTCGAAACCGTCGCCCCCACGACCAGACTCGAAGCGTCCTGACGACGAGCCGGACGCCGAGCCGGCCACTGGTGTGACAGCGTTCGCCCTCGACGACGACGACGACGATTGCGGGACCGCCGTGGTATGCCTCGACGACGACGCACTAGGCGACTTGATGTAATAAACGAGATTCGTATGTGTGAAGTTGTTTTAGCTTAGAAAAAATGTTGTGTGTGCTGTGGTTTGCAATCCCGATTCTACTCGTCGAATAACGTAGGCAATGCCACGAGCACGACGCCGTTGGCCGCGGCTTTGTTGACTTCCCACCGCCCACATCGGTGTTCTTTGCCCACACCCGCCACAAGGAACGTGCCCGCCTTTGGAAACGCCAGCGCATTCACAAACCCGTCGACGGGGATGGCGCCCACAGGTTCCAGCACCCGTGTTTTCAAGTTGGCCTTCCACAGCCGAACAAACCCGTCCGACGACCCCGTGGCGACGAGGTCCGACCGGGGAAGCACGGCGATGCTGGAGATCCACTTGCCGCCATGTACCGCGCGCGCGACGAACGTCGGCTTCTTCTTGCCGTTGAACCACAACGCCAGCGACCCTGCGACGGCAAAATAGTTATATATGTGAGCGAGGCAGCATGCTGTGGAGGTCGTACCTGAGTCGTCGCCGGTAATGTAATACTCGTCCGAGACCATCGCGAGGCAGTCCAGTGACCCGGAGCCATGGAACACGAGCTGTGTTTCTTCAGGGATCTTCCATACGCGCAGGCTCGCGTCGCGGCCAACGCTGACCACGCGATCCTTTTGCAGGCAATCAATGGCCGTGATTTCATTCTGGTGGCCAAACAACGTCTCAACGTAGCCCATTTCCGTGAGGTTCCAGTGCTTGACGGTGCGGTCGTACGAACCCGAGAACAGCATGTGCGCTTTCTTGCGGAACGCCAGGCTCGAGATAGCGTCGCGATGGCCTTTGAAGCTCTCGAGCAATTCGTTGGACGCGCCATCCCACACGCGAAGAATCTTGTCGACGCCGCCACTGGCGACGAACTTGCTGTCCGAGCTCACGGCCAACGCCAAGATGGTCTTCTTGTGGTCGGGAACCTTCTTCTGTTGTTTTTTCGTCGGGGTTTTGCTGGCATCCGTGTCCGCTTCGTCGTCGAATGGCACGACCAGCTTGGTCTTGGTCACGCCCTGCTCACCAATCGACCACTTCAAAATCGAGCCGTCTTTCGCCGCCGAGTAGATGGCACTGCCGTCCTCGGTGGCGCACACACTCGTGACTGGTAGCTTGTGGCCCTTGAGCCACTTGCACGATTCGTGGTCAAACTCAAAGTCTACCAACTTGTGTGCCACCTGCTTGAACAGTTTGCCAGAGGATTCCTGCACGTCCTTTTCCAATTGCGACGCCAGCCGGTCGCTGGGGTCAGCAGCATCGTCGTCGTCGTCCACGTCTTGGAATTTGTCTTTCAGCTTGCCCAAATACGCCTTGGCGAGACGCACGCGCTTCTCATCGTTCGTTTCGTTCGCGTACGGGTCTTCTTCGTCGATGTCGGCCTTCTTGGCTTTCTTGCCCTCGTCGTCCGACACTTCGCTGTCCGAAGCGATGTGGTTGTTGCCTTCGCCCCAGTCAAACGCCTCGTCGTTTACCTTGGCCTTCTTGTTGCCATACTTTCCCTTGCCTCCTTTGACCTTAGGCTTGTAGCTGCTCTTGGATGATTGCTTGCGTTTCATCGGAACTCCGTGGCGCGCCGTTTGAAGATGGGGCGGCAATTGTTCACGGTGGATTTGGTTGGTTTTAAGCGGGGCTGGTTAAGTGCGCTTTAAATACCCGTTCTTTGTCGTATTTACCGGGTGTATTTTGTCGATTCGGGTGTATGAAACCGGACATAAGACAGCCAGGTGTAACTGCACTTAAACGAGCAGTTTGAAGTTGACCGCTTTTGATGATTTGACGATCAAATAACGTTATGGTTAACATTACGGTAAGTTAGTTTATAATCGAGCCCTGTAGCGTCGTAGTGTCGTGCGTTGAATCATGGTGGCGCTGAGCGCCTTAAGGGCTCTAGTATTGTTGTGTTTATTCTAAACTGGAGCGACATGGTGGATGAATCGACACAGCCAAGAATCGACAGGAAAATTGAGCCAATCAGATTAAAGGAAACCATCATCAACGTTTAATTAGTGTGTGACTACAATCACCATATTTTGGATACAAGGACAATAACGTTATACTGCATTCACAACAATTATCACACCAAACATGGTGCCAGTTTGGTACTGTAGTGATCCTGGCGTACTCCATTCCGAAATTCTGTCTCGATTCAACTTTGCCTTAGGGCCTGGTCGGGGAACGTCGACTCCATGCTTGTCAACGCTTTGGCACTGAATACTGTACAGTGTACTACGTACCGTACCTTTCGATTCAATGTTGGAGTGGTACAGCCAGGAGTACCACTGGAAAATTTGATATTCGTTGCCTCTAGACATAAATATCCTTTCAGAAGTAATGCCTCTCTACTACTCGATAACTGACGAGCAAACTTGAAGCGACTTCCTGCAGATTTCAGCATGCAAACTTGAGCTTGTAAACTGACATTGACACTTCCATTCACTTTCCATTATGCCGTGACCGTCCCATCGCAAGCCCTAGAAATGTACTTGTATGATTTCAATTTGAGTTTGATTGCCTCGAAGAACTCCCATAAAATTATATTCCTCCAACATCACATAGAAATATTAATTTTGAATAGACTAGAAACAGAGTGGTCACAGCCGAGTACCACTCCAACATTGAATCGAAAGGTTACGGTAGTACTTCGTAACGTTAGTAAGCTTATATTTTTCAGTGTAACAACTTACTTCGAAGTACTATTTTAATAGTAAGTTATTTACTACTTACTATTAAAATAGTAAGTATCATAGTAAATATTATAGGTTGAAATCAAATTTCAGTATTCACGAATCAAAATGCTTGATTGAGGTTACGATGAGTGCTTGAAAGTGTCAAGACACCCATCGACACCTCAATCATCTCAATGGCCAATGCCCACCTCGTGCTTACTGCTGCCATTCTGGCTGTTTCAGCCACTTGTATTGCTGTGGCGACCCTGTCCAATCAAGTCAAATACTTCGAAGTACAACGTACTCACCATAACCAACGTGGATTCTCACAAAATTTGTCAATTTTGAAGGATTTCAATGAAACTTGTACCAATCGAAAGCTTGATATTTTGGCTTTCTCGTGATATCGTTGAAATTGCTAAATTATTTGCTCAAAGTTTAGCTTTCATCAATAGAAATATGCCAGTCCACCGGACTTGACAGTATACAACGAGCTTGATGCATAACGCAACAAAGCTGCACGATTGAACTTGCATTCGTGGATAGTGAAATACAACCGCAGGTGATATTCCAATACAAGTACCGGTATTTTCAAATAATACTTTACTGTTAAGTACAACTCCAAGGTTAGCGAGCGAAACCCCTATTTTTAATTGCTACTATTAATACTACGTAGTAGTAATTTACAGTTAGGATAAAATATATGTTGTTCGAGCTGTCTTCCTAATGTTTTGTCAGAAGGTGAGATGGCGTCTCGCCCAACATTATTACAACATTATGTACAGAATCGAATTGCGCAACGGGGCAGGCATCCTCGATGGACATGCTTGAGGTACTAGTACTGTAGTGCTGACGTGGTGCGGGATGTACAGTACAGACTGCAGTTGGTTTCAAGAGTTGGGTGAACTTCTATCGTTTCGTCACCGAGAAGATGACTACGGTAATTCCCCCATAGCAGGTATATCACCTACCTTCAAAACACCTAAACTATACTATACAGTAGTACATACCTTTCCTGTTAATGGAGGAATTCTGAGATACCTTACAACAGCCAATCAGGACGCCTGAACTGAGTATTTGTTGCACAAATAAGTATAGTGCTGAGATTTCTCATGATACAGTACTGTAATACCAGAAGGGCATGTCACCTAGGGGTTAAGGCATCTCAGTGGTTAGCGACAGCTACATGTAACCACTGTGATGCGCTTAATTAATTAACCCCGGGAATAATATTATACTTCGAAATATCCGTGCCCACAGGGGGTAGGACGAAGTCCCAGGTTACAAGGTTTATTTTTTGTATACCAGTATATGTGCGGAGTCTTATCTAAGGAATTGTTTTGACGAATGGTATATATAGTTTGGGTGTTTTGAAGGTACCGTAAGTGTACCTGCTGTGGGGGAATTATTCCGGAAAAGATATCGAATCTGACAGCTCAAAAACGGAGGATTCGTCAGCGAACGGTCGGCGTTATTCCGACTGCATCCCGATAAATCCAAACGACAAGAACTGGATTGCCTGATTGTCCGTGAAACGGACAGTGAGAATTGTTCGATGCGGCCAGGGCTTTGTCACACATTCACTGGGCACAAGAAGTGATTTATGCGACTGGGAGTGAATTCATTGTTCCAAAAGATCCCCCTCCATTCGTCAAGTGATGGGCCTGCGGCTTCGAAAGCCAACACCCAGGAGAGCCACTAACTCAAGGCGTGTCCCACAAACCAACGGCGGGAGTTTCACGTGTTGTGCCGGGTGGTTTGCAAAGCCAAGAAGATGCCACCCGACAGCGCGACAAAACGTGATTCTCCACTTCATACAATATCTGAAACCACTTCGAATTTGTATTGGATCCAAAAGTTCGGGGCGACGGACACCATGACATCATCCACTATCACAGTGTATCTACATCTCAAATCACGTTTAAACATGTGACATGAACGCAGTTTGTGTTTGTACTGTACCCAGTTAAAAGGGTTCAGCGTACCTAGTTAAACATCAGGTTCGACAAATAACGTCTATATCACACCTGGATTTGGTCGTCGTCGCCGTGGCCAATCAGACGCGGATCTAGTGCCTATCATCAGTCGATCCACCAATCAAATGGCTCTCTTCGTACTGTACGACAAAGCTGCCACGCACTTCAATTGCTCGTGTAAAATCACAAACAAATTTCCTTCCTGCTCCATGCTCAAGTTCCTCACAAGCCCAAGAACGAGCCCTTCGAGCTCGACGTCGACGTCCCCCGACGTCGCGGCGGTGCGCACTGGCGTTCTCCATGTCACGACCATGGGACTCTTTGGTGTGTGCTTCTGGAAGCCTCGCTTTGTGGTCCTGACAGCAACAAAACTCCTGTGTTATTCGTTCGAGGGCGGCGAACTCAAGCTCGAATTGGACATGTCCGAGTGCACACCAAGCGACATCAACGTTATGCCAGCCGATTGCACCAGAATCCGCAGCTTTGGCGCGTCGATTTGGCGCATCGGCCTCAACATTGGCGGCCAGCGGTACTTTGTCGCCACGAGTTCCGAATACGACATGAACTTGTGGGTCCAAGATCTATTTGAAACAGCGCATCAACGACTGGACCCTGGACGCGAACTGCGACCGTCTCTGGGTGTAAACCCTCAGTACGTTGTCGGGGCACTGTCGTTTCGTGTCGACGGAGGTGCAAAGTATCGCTCGAGCGTTCGTCGTCCGCCACCACCTCGACCCAGCCTCGTCGTCGACACGACTGTCATGGCCTGAGTAGTTTGTAATTACGTGTGTGTGTATATATTTATAAAGCTGCCAACACAAATTCTACTCGAACACTGTATTCACGTATTATTACAGAATCGCAATGTCGTGGGTGGGGGTGGTTTTGCCGAGAATGTGGCTGAGCGACCGCATCGAGAACTCGTCGACGTCTTCTCTTTCGACACTCCTCTGCTTCTCCTCCTCCACACGACGGCGCGATCTGTAAGCCACGAACCCCAGCGCAGCCAATCCCACCACAAACGCTGCGCCACACGAGATGGCAAGGGCGTTCGAGGTTGAATTCGACTCGGTGTTGGCTCGTACAGACACTTCATTCAGTGCTATCTCCTCGGTGGGGACGGGGGTTGAAGTCCGAGCAACGGGGGACGTCGACCCCGGAGCTGTGCTCTTCCCACCGGACGATGTGGACTCTGAAATGGGCGACTCGGCTGCATGCTGTGCTTCGGCCGACTTGGGTGTTTCAGTTGCATTTGCGCTTGAGACGGCAGCAAGAGTCGTGTTCGAGTCCCCCGTGGCTGTCGTAGTGGCTACGCCCTCTGTCGCGTGCTCGGTTGTCACTGGGACAGACGTGGGGGTTTGAGTTGGCGCGGTTGTAGTCACAGTCGTCGTCGTAGGGGGTGCTGAAGTCGTCGACGCAGCCGGAGCATGCGTGGTGACAGGCACAATCGAAGTCGTTACCGGAGGTGCCGTTGCTTCAGATGCGGAGGAGACAGGTGGGGGCGTCGCGAGTGGCTCTGTGGGTGGTTTTGGTGTGGCGGGGGGTGCAGTAGGTGCAGGTGCGGGCGTCGCGGGTGGCTCTGTGGGTGGTTTAGGTGTGGCGGGGGGTGCAGTAGGTGCAGGTGCGGGTGTCGCGGGCG